AAACTTTGCATTATCTACCGTAGTGCATAATTTAGATTCTTTTAGACATTAAGAAATATAAGAGATTTATTTGTATATTTGCACATAATTTACAATTAGTCGAAGTTATTATTTAAATTGTGTTCTAAAAATTAAAAAATTTTACATTTATTTGTATCAACAAAATTATCATGTGGAGAATAATTTTTACTTTTCTTACCATTGCTATCACAAAATTAAAATAATTTAGCATAATTAAGATAATAATTGCATAGAAATTAACATTATAGCTTATAGGATAAAAAAAGAGATATTTGAGAATTTGAAAGTTGAATTTAAAACTTTTCTCTGAAAAATCTAGTAACAAAAAATTTACCAAATAGTTTAATTTAAACATTTTATGCAACATAATGTTAAGCAGGGCAAACAATTTTTTTATCATAATTGTTATAAAAACTATCAGGTTTGATTCAAAAAATATTGCAAGTTCTTCAAACAATTTTTTTTAATAAGATGTGCAATATGCGTAATACACAGAAAAATGTTTTATATAAATAAAAATGAGTTGCTTGTAAGGTTGTGATAAAATAAAGAAAAATCAAAATGGTATCTATTTCAAACTCTTTCTACTTTAATATTAATTACCAAGGCATTAAAGACATAGTCCAATTAATGTATAAAATCTCCCTTATTAAAATAAATTTCATTGATGTATTTGGCAATTAATTTTAAAGAAAAACCTGGCAAGTTGTATCAGTTAAAATATATCCAGTTATAAAATTTTTCATTCTATTTTGAACAATAATTAATATATAATTCACATTTGTCATGGCTTTAACTATCTTTATAAAATTCTTCTGAGCAATTTGTGTGTATAATTACATCAAATGATATTGTTTTTAATAATATTTAAAGATTGCAACTCTAAAATAATTTAATTTCTTTTCTTATATCTAATATTTATTTGTATTTTACAGATGTTGAAATCGATTAACAAAGCTATTTTAATTGAGAAATTATAAAAATTATATAATTAGCAGTTTTAGAAATTTCTTGCAAAATCTATTTTTATTATTTAATAAATTTCAAGAATGATATATACTATAATTAAATTAATTTTAATGAAGATGAGAATATAAATAATAATAAATATTTTCTAAATAATTCGATTTGTTAATTATTTAAGATATTTTTATTTGATTTGTTCAGAAAAAATGGTTTATAAAATATGAAATTTTCATTTATTGTTTTTATACCAATGGAGCTTAGATTAAAGAAAGAATATATAGTAGAAATGTAAATAAATAAATAAATAAAATTTAAAAGAAATAGAAAAGAAGATTGAAAAGAATTAAGATTTCTTTCTTTAATCCACAACATCAATTATAAATATCAATTATTTTTATTATCAGATTTTGATGAAAATAATCTGCTAACTATTTTAGCTTATGGTTTTCTCTACAAAAATGATCGGCCTTTACTCTAAGAGAATCCTTACTAAGTTCCTTGATTTGGAGAATGAATGTAAGGTAATACATCTTGAGATTCGGCACTATTTAATTTATATTAAATTTTGCCCTATGTTTATTGACCACTTCCCTATTCTCTGATGGTTTCTTAAGCAGTTTTTGATTTTCTCATTAAAGAATCTTCAGGATGAGCATATATTATATCATTTCCTGGAATAGTTTATTTTGATGAATTAGTTCTTACGGCTGTATCTTATTATGATTCTGGTCCATAACCATAAGGAATATTTTTGGCTTATTAGAATTTAGGTTAGATTTATGGGAAAAATGCAGTTGAATTACTTTTTTTCAAAAGGTCATTTAAATTTTATCTATTGTTAAAACGATCAGATTCAAGGATTGATTTTTTCTAAGTTGGAAAGTCCATTTAATTGGATGACAATCTAATATTGTCTTATTCATTTTAATTAGTGTGAAATTAGACTCTTTGTGCAGAATCAACAGTATTAATAGTCCCATCCATTTTTGTTCTAAGCACACGGGAACCTATTGTATATTTATTAATAGGCTTTGGAGGCTATACATCCCTTTATAAATTTTAATGGATGTATTCATCACGGATGTCTGTTTCTTTAATTCTTTTTATTTATTCTTGATAAGTAACTTTATTACGGGATTCATAGAGTTAAGGAGGGGATTGTGGCTTTTGATTAAATCCTTTTATAACTTTAACAGGAGAACTAGATATAGAAATAGTTTGGTACGTAATTTTTGATGGTTAAATATTTAGCTTGTTCTGCATAAATTATACATTATTTCGTTTACTCAAACTTTATTGAGTCTCTTATTGAATAATTCGAATTTAAGTAGGCTTAAATGTATAATCAATTTATGGTCTTCCTGATCCTTTAGAACTAGTTATAGAATTTTTTAGTGTTGATTAGTTTGGATTGAAAAATGTGGCTGTTTATTTGAATAGATCTTAAAGTTTAGAATCATCAAAGCAGTCTTAATATTCATAATGATTCATTATTTAAATTATATATAAAATGTTAAGAAAATAAAATAGTTGTATTGATTAACATTTTTATTAAATTTATATCTCAATTAATATATATTCTCATTAAAGTTATTACATATCAATTTATTGTATTTTAATTGGATAAGACAATTCTCAATTTTTGATTTAATTATATTGATAATTAGAAACATAATAATAATCATATTAATATTTGATTCTCCTTATTAATCCATTAGAGATGATGGTTCAATTAGCAATTTAAATACTAAATAAATTTCAGTAATAAATTAATATTGCTTTAATTTATATAATAATTGCTAATTTATATTAAATATTCCTCTTTCAAAAGTTGTTTTTTTTAAAGAGGATTATTTTTTTAGTTAGAGAATTCTATAAAGATCTTTAATTTCAAATGATGACGATTAAATTTAATTGTTTTTAAATAATGACTTCGTTAGAACCTTTATTAGTGATAATTTTGGTTTTTATAATTTGAATTGTTTGGTACTTAATTCATTTGATAGCACAAGTAAGAATGTTTTTTTTAGAATTTGAGTCACCTCTAATTATAAAGATGAATAATCTTTTTTAAGTGATCAATTTATAGGATTATTAGGAGTGGATGACATTTTATGAAATTCTTATTAACCTTCAGTAGAACCATAATACATCTCAAGAAGAGTGAATTTAATTGAGGAATTATGGTTTGGTTAATTGTTATACATACTTCTACTTTTATTTATATTTTTCATAGTCGTTGGAGTGTTCTTTATAGAATATCCATTCTAATACTTATTAAATACAATTTTGGGCGTTGTAACTGTGATGTTATGTTCACATTAAATCATTTTTGACAAATAGAAAAGGATTAACTCATGCATTGATATAAATATTAGAGTATAAAGTGAATTACTATAAAAATGAAAAAAAAATATAAAAAATTAAAAAAACTAATATTAAATGTATAATAGGAAAAAAGGCTTCATTCTCTAAAGAAGATTGTTATAGTTATATGAATTAATCTGGATTTGCAATATAGAGTTTACTTTTAAGTTTATTTTTTGGAATGTATGTGCTAATGTATTTCTTTAACATTAGAGTTTGGGGAGGTGATTTAAAATAAAAAGAATTTGAAAATATATCAATATTAATGATAAGATATCTTGTAGGATTACTTTTAGGTGGATTTATATATAGAGAAGGATTATCATTAATGAGTAGATCATTTAAGACTGCAACTATTGGATTAATAAAATCTGATGTAAATTTAAGTATTGGAAATTGCAATATCTCTTCATTAACAAGATTGGTTTATCTGGTTCTATAGTAAACAGGATATATTCTTATAAATTATTTAGATACTGGATTAATATTAATATTTTTAAATTGTTCAGTTTTAAAATTATTTATAAAAGTCCAGAAATGTTGGAAAGTGAAAATAGAGATATTTTTATATTGACACCAATCTATTTGATAAATTGAGAATATTTAGGTTCAATTATATGTTATTTATTGAGATTTAGTAATAGAGATCAATAAAAACCTTCTTTTACAACAATTAATGTTAGATGGTAATTAATAATAGGAGCATTAATTTCATTTATTATCTTAGTTGCATTTTCCTTTAATTTTCTTATATCTGAATTTACATTGAAAGGAAATACAATTAAAGAAATATTATTTATAGTTTTAATGAAAAACTATTGTAACAGTAGATTTTGATGGAAAATCTTCAATTCATTCGTGCTGGTGTTATTTATTAGGATTAGTTTTCAATATAATTAATATTAGTTTGTTTGAATGATATTCATCTCATGGATGTTCTAAAGTTAGTAATCTAGTAAATTATTTAATTCAATAAGGGATTAACAAAAAGTGATAGAATTATGTAAAAGAATATTATTTATTTAAATTATCTTGGAGATTTATTTTCAGCAATACCCAATGTTGTAATGTTATTAATAATTATTATTTATTCTATTAATGGATTTGCTGGATTATTATTTGCAACATCTGGATACATATCAATATATATTATTTATGGTATAATATACTAAATAGGTTGTAATTCATGGGAATCTTATAAATTGAATATTTTGTTCAATTCAAATCTTAAATTTAAGGTAGAATATTTGCTATTTATTGGGAAGCTAAAATTATATGATCTATCTTAAAGCTCTTCATGCAGGGTATCTTTAGGTATTATTGGCTCATAAATTTATTGATACTCAGCATCTTTAGTTTCATTTTTTGCAAATTTTAATGGAATCATTTGATTACCTATTGGATTTATAATTATGTTTGTCTGTAGAGGAATTAGTATCTGGCCATTATTAATAAGGTTAAAACATATGTAATAATATTATTAATTTAGTTCATCTGTCAACCTTCAAATGAATCAGAAGGAAAATTAAACTGTTTCCCAGATAAATTGAATTTACAAAAATTAAATATACTCAAAGTATCATTCATGTTTATAGTAATTTCTTGTTTCTCCCTTCAACTTTGTTATTAATAGGCTATATATTTGGGTAATAAGGTAAAATTGCTTAAATGATTAATTCTTATATTAATTTACTATAGATTCAATATAATGCTTTAATTAAAGGAACAGCCCTTGAAAATGTTAAGATTTATAATGAAAGTATATATTCATTATTATTCATAGTTTAAGATAATCAAAAACCATCACATCATATTATGTATGTATCAAAAAATACTTATGCATGTGCTACTTAAGAAAGTAATACATAACCTTTAGTTCTTTATCTTTTTTATACTTTTTTTCTACTCATTTCTTGTCAAAATTAATTTACTCCAGCAGATTAATGAATTATATTCCAAAAATACTATATATTTTTAGTATTTTCTATTTTTTAATTAAACAATCGATAAAAACAATAATTTATTATTGAAATGAAAAACTTAGGGTATAACCAACTACACTTAAGTCACAAAATTATTAAGACAGATGGAGATGATTCTGATATGCTTTTACCAGAATCTGATAAAGATGAAATAGGATAAATATTGAATACAGAAGAAAGCAAAAGCAAACCAATTAAAGAACTTAGATTTAGTCTCAAAAATCAAATTTGGATATATGATAGAAATCAAAAAAGGCATCAATCATACAAATCACCTTCTCCGCTTAGAACCCAATCTTCTCCTTCCATTCTTAAAAATAAAAATGCAATAACGAAATAATTTAAATCATGATTATATTATTTAAATTAATCAGCAACAATGAATCATAAGATTTTACTCCATAACGTTCTTCATTAATTTAGAATTCACTTATTAAATAATTTTAAATTAATTTCATCTATCTGTAAACGTTAAACTTCCATTTTTATTATCAAAATGAAAATATCATTTCTTTTTCTATCATTATTATTGAACAAATATATTTTTAAAGAAAATAATTTAAATGTTAAATACTACTTACTAAGTTTATTTTTTTATCAATTATTTTTAGATTATTTTTATTATTTGAATTTATATAAATACAATAATTGTTTTTCAAATATTGAACAGTTGAAAATCAATATGATTTTTTAATTTGCTTTCTTGACTGTTGTTAAATTTCAATTTACATACAATTTTAATCTTTTTAATCCTTTTTTTTTTGAAAAATAAATGAAGATTATAACTCTGCTCGAAATTCATTCTAAATAAAATTATATCTCATTATTACTTTATGTAATTATATTAATAATTTAGCTAATAAATTGGGTCTAATATTTTCTTTTAATTGTTCCCATAATAAATCTATTTTAAGAGCTTCATTTTAAATTACTTTTATTTCTTATTTTATTATTTTAAATGAACTTATTTAATTAAAAATACCTTACTCTGCTATATTTTATTTGGATTATACTAATTTTTATTTTATTTTATCATTAATCAAGTAATTTTCAGGTTTAAATTAAATCTATCTAAAAATATCTATAAGAAATTCTGAAAAATTTCTAAATATTTAAATTATAAATACTTCTAATTTTATGAGAAAAAATCTTTATTTTCTTATATACTGAATAAATATTTAGCTTGTAAAGGCAGAGAAACATCCAATATTGAATATGAATATGATTTTGCTGCATCAATTCTTTCTTATTTATTTGAAGATGTTCTGAATTTCAATGCATCCAAAAGAATTTCAATTTCACCTTCATCTTTTTCTTGTATAATACATTCTTCTAATCTTTCAAATAATTTTTACTACTAAGTTAAAAATTACTAATACTAATAAATAATATTATTCAGAAATACTTTATCTTATTATTTACTATAAGTTTCAATTGATTTCTATAAACTTATACATTATTCTCTCAATTTATCATTTTCATCTTATAAATCTTTAACTCTAGTTTCTAATAGTTCAAAATAGATCTTCTTTCTTGCTCTTGAATTTCTAGCAGACTCTCTATTTCTTACTTATTTAAGTTTATTAGGATCTAAATTTAATTCATTAGAATCTAGATTTTCAGATGATGATTGCTCACTATGTTCAACATTAAGAAGTAGTTGTTATTCATTTTTTCTTTCCATTTTCTATTAACTTCTTCTAAATCAAATCAAAATAAAGATTACGATTATCTATGTCTCTAATTTACTATCAATTGATTATTTGCATCTTTCTTAACTAAATTTTAAATCTTATTAGAATATGTGCTCTTTGTCTAAACTAATGTCTAAATAACTTCATATTTCAAATTTTCTTTAAATTTTTTTTGTTCATCTTTTGTATATTTTTCTAATAAAATTATATGCTCTTAGTTACTTTTATTCCTATTCTATTGATTATTTTAGCTTCCATCTCTTGAATTATCCCCATCACTCCCACTTCTTGGTTATCCTTCATATGAACTGTCATTTTTTATGCATAATCTATCTATTCTTATATTTTCCAATTAAATGGCTCTTGACAATTAATCAGTTCCTTAATCGACTTCTTCAAATATTTGAATTTTAGGTAGCTTTTGTTCTTGTTAAACTAAAGTATAAGGGTCTGGTAAATCAGAAAATTCAATTAAATTCTTATTGGCATCGTATGAACTAATATAAATGTTTATAATGGCTACTCATTCTAAAAATCTTGTTCACTAATTATAGGATCACTCATAAATTATTAGTTTTAAAAATAAATAACATTATATCAATTATGTATTAGAAACACTATCTCACGATAATCTCATTTGTTGGAAATTTTTCGTTCCATATATTTCAGTATTTACGTAAGCTGAAATAAATTTATCATCATTTATTTATAAATGACAGCATAATTTTATAATAAAATAAATTTTTCTATTCTACAATTTAATTTATTAATCCAATTACTATCCTATTCCTATGATGTTAATTTTCTGCCTCAATTCTGACTATTAATTAAGAAATCAATTGAGCTTTTTATATTTAATGAATAAATCTATGTGTATTCCTATTTAATGGTTATTCAAATTAATTTTAAAAAGTTAATAATTCTATTTATTTTTGAAATTCAATATTCATTTTAAACTACAATTATGATTTTAATTATAATTCACTAAAAACTTAAATTTTTCTTTCAGATTTATTTTTTTGGTTTAAATCATTCTCTTATAAAGGAAAAATTATTCGAATAATTTAAAAATGATCAATACTTACATCTTGAATAAAATTATCTAAAATTAAAATTATAAAAAGTAAAAAAATTTTACACAAAAATAAATTATCTAGGCTTTTAAAACTTAAGAATAAAATAATCAAAGTGAAAATTTTTTGTGAATCAAAAAAACATATATATTTATCTATGATTTCAGAATGTATGTAATAATTAAAAAGGGAACCTTGAATTAATAAAATAAATTATGTTTTCCTTTATATTGTCAGTTGATATTATTTCATAAATAATGGTTCTAATAATATAAAAATTGAAATTTGAATAGATGATGAGAGAAATATTGTGATTTATTATTTATTGGATTATATCTAAATATAATTTAAGATTTAAAATAAATTAGTACCTGCTATGAAAAGGAAAGTAACTCTGAAACGAAATGCAATTTTTAATTAGAATATTCGAACAATAGCAGTCAAAAATCAAGAAGAATATATGAATAATTTAAAGATGCAAGCAATTCGTTTGTAAATTGAGAAAATAGTCCATCTTGATCCTTTGTTGAAATCACTACTTAATTCTAAGCCTAATCGTAAACATTATGCTCGTCCTTTATTTAAAGCTTAAAGTAATCGATCTTTCATGGAATCAAAGATCTAAGAAGGAGAAACTAGATAAAGAGCTAAAAGTTCTGAAGGTTCTAATTTCGGAGAGGTAAGTATTAAATATAAACGTTTAACATAAAGAGGATTGTTTAAAATTAATATGCATGTAAATAAAATAAGAAGAAGATTTAAAAGATGTGTTTTTGCAGTTTGTCTGTTGCTCACATATTTTAGATATTATCCTCTCTTTAAAAAGTGTAAACGATTTTCAAGACCTCGTTTATCAATATTACGCAACAAACCAATTTTAGATAAACTGCCGATTTTATCGTAAATAGATAAAACAAATACAATTGATGATAGTATAATGTCTAAGGAGCCTATTACTTATCTTAAAAAGAAAAATTCTTCATAAGGAAACTTTGATATCTTTATTAAAAGACCTATTCAATAGTTTATAATGAGATCCAATACATAAACATATTCCTAAAAACGAATATGTAAGACTGAGCATTCATAGATTAAAAGCATGTACCATATTAATTAAAAATTAATCAATGATAAAATGTTTCTAAAGTCATCCTCAATTAAATTACTTTCTATGAGTTGATAAATTTAATCTTTGTTTTATGTTTATATTTATAAATTATTAAGATTAATTATTTATTGATAAAGTTATCTTGGTTCTTGTAAAAATAATAAAAAGTTTAGAATTCATTGCATAATAATTTAAATATCTTTTGACAATCTAAATTTATAAAATTAAAAATCCTGCAATTCTTGTTTTTAATAGAAGATAAAATTTAAAACAAAATGATTTTTTTTATGTCACTTTAAATTAATTTTTTTTTTGTTATTAAGTTAATGAAACTTATTATAAGGAAATAATTATTTAATGAAAAGATGTGGTATCGAATATTACAATTAAGAATATAAGAAGTGATGGCAATATTTATTGAGAACTATTTGTACAGTTTATATTTCAAACAATATTTCATTCGTCCCAATCTCCAGACATACCTTTTCTTAATTTTAAAATTAAACAACTATCATTTGGAACAGCTTAGTCTTACAAATTTGCTTTATCATCCAATAACTAATTTTAGATTTATCTACTCTCTTACTCTCTCTCCCAAATAGATTCTCATATCTTACATTTCCTATTTGTAGTAAGGTAACAATTTTCTTTTCAAAATCTCAACTGGATCAAGTAATGAGCATTCAAAAAAGAATACTCTATTTTCTCTTTTGATTCTCAAATATATTTTTAATGGTTCCATCCTAATTATTAAATAAATAAATTATGAAAATTGCAAAAGTGGTTGAATGGAAACCGATTTATATTAAGTAGAACCTAATGGAAATGTTGATATAACCTTTTTAATAGATTAATATCCTCGGTCTAGAGAAAAAGAAATCTATCAATATAGCTTAATCATCTTTTGCATTTAATTCCATTCTAGTTTAAGATATCAATTGTTTAACAGAGTTAGAATAATTAAATATAAAATTGGTTGAAAGACTTTGTAGGGATATGAACAAGTGTGATTAATTTTATAATTTACATTTATAGCAAATATAAGTGAAATTAAGAAAATTGGTTTATAACATATTCATTTATTAAGACCTTTAAAAAATTAAGGATATTTAATCGAAATTGTATATATTGAAGCAATATTGTGAAATGTTATATTTAGAATGCAACCTCTTAGAGTCTTTTGCAAAATACAATGAGATAGTGATTAAGAAAATATTGAAAAATTATAAAAAATAGGTTTTCATTCAAGATCCAAAATACAACCTATAAACAATACAGAATGTTTATAATGAATTATAGATCTTTAATAATCGTTAGGATATTTAAAAGATTCAAGTGAAATTAAAGTTGTTATATTCACGTTGTCTTACTTAGAAACAATAGAATAATAATATAAGGAAACTAAAATATCATAATATTTATAAAGGATTTACAAGAAAAGAGCAATTATTGATAGGATTATATTTAGGAGTCTCATTCTGTTTATTGTTATTTATAATATCAAGAAGAAACTCATTAAATATTAACTTTTACAAAAAGTATTAAATTACAATATAAATAGTCAATTTTACTATGATTTATACTTTCCAATGTTTAGAGGGATAGGTTTAATGATTTTGTACTATTGGTCGCTTATATTTTGTGTATACTGTTGGATTAAAGGTAATGTTGGATATAGATCAATTTTTAATTTCAAACATCATAGTTCGTCAATCAATCAATTAATTAAAAGAGCTGCATTTATAACATTATTATATTTTTCAATATTAATAGTAAGTTTATAAAAAGAACTCTATATTGAAGAGGAAAAGGATGAAAATTCATACCTGTAAGATTATATAACAGATAAAATAATTTATGATCCTGCAATAGGACCTTTAATATTATGGTTATTCATATTACTCTACATGATATGGCCTTCAAAAAAGTACTTGAATGCAAAAGGGAGAAAATATTTTTGGAAAATTGTATATACAAGTATTTTATCAGGATTTTTGGAATGTCCATTCGTTAATTGTTGGTCAACAGATTAATTACTATCATTAACATTAATGCTCAAAGATTGTGCTTATACAGTTTGTTTTTATATAAAATACTTTTAAGATAAGGATAATTATGAATCTTAGGCTACTTGTGGTGATCCTAAAAATCTATAGATAGGGTTAATAGTATGTTTGATTCCTATTTTTTTAAGATTTATTTAATTAGGAAGATGCTTATATGATAGTAAGAAAATAACTATGGATGATATATTTGTTGTATTGATATATGTAGAAATAGCAATGGTAACAGTTTTTTCATTTTTATCATAATTTGGAAATTTGTATTTTATTATTTGGATTATATCTTTTTGTTTACTTGCTTGTAATGCATACTTTTGGGACATAAAAAAGGATTGGGGTTTATTTTAAATAAATTCAAAACATAAATATCTAAGAAATTAAATAGCATTTAAACCAATATTTTATTATATTGGTATTATATTGGAATTCTTTCTTCGTTTTGCTTGGATTCTTTCAATATCACCAAATATGGCATCAATAATTCATATTTGGTCACCATTTTTTTCCTTATTAATGGCCATTTTCGAATTGAGCAGAAGAACAGTTTGGAATATATTTAGAATAGAAAATGTTCACATTTAAAATATGGGAGATTTTAAGGCAGTTTATCCAGTTTAACTCCCTTTTGAATAATTAATTGATTAATAATCATATATGAACATAAAAGAACAGAGAAAAACTTAAATAGATCCGATTAATATATCATTGTTAAGTGGAACATAAAATTAATAATCTATTGCAGGATAATATTTTTAATTTAGAAATTCTATTAGATCAGATTCAACGGAGGATGAAACTAAATTAAACTTATTATTATAATAGGAACAGGATTTGATGGCTGAAACTATGTATGAGGATAGAAAGAGAGAAAGTATAGTAACAATGAGATATTCTGAATTTAAGCTTGATCATTAAGAAGAGAAAATTTTAAGTAAATAAGAATTGCTTAAAGATCTTTAAGTAATATAAGAGTTGATAAAAAAATGAATTGATTCAATAATATTTATATTTTGATTTATACTTATTAAACAAAAAATAAATTAATTAAGATAATATTTATTAATTATTATAACTAAAAATTTCAATGATCTTTAAACATTGGGGATGAAAATAAAGTCTTTTGATATTATTCTTTTCTTTCATCTCCTTAATATACATATCGCAATTTGGTATCTTGAATTTCTTTTTCATCATCATAATCGCTGAGATGTTACTGATCATCACACATATTAATTTGATGGACAGAATCTTTGATGTCTTAAGTATCTTTAAGATTCATTGCGTCATCCTTAACACAAGTATCAGGAACTTCAAATTTAATTTAATTAGAACTTAATGAATCTTATTTTTTGGTATCAGGTGTTTCACTTGTAACTTTTTGATGACCTTGCAGTATCTATTGATAATACCTAAAATTAATTAATGTTTATAGTTATAATATATATACTATTAAGTAGTAGATTGACTATTAGAAATTCGATTAAGGATGGACTTAAATTTTTCACTCCTAGCTGGAGAAATGGCAGTCACTTCCTTCTTTATCTACATATTAGGCTCTTGAGAATCTTCATTTTCGAAAAGAGTTCTGAAAGTACTTTTTTATTTTTAAAAGGCCTCTTTTGGTACAGTCTCATTTTTATTATTTGCAAGAGTAACAAATTCTTATTCTTGAGTGGGATTTATTCTTTAAACAGATTCTTTGGTTTAGCCAGATGCAGGACTATGAGGAGCAGACTTTTAAGAATCGTGAGACATATTAAGAGATTCTTCCTCAATATCTGCATGAGATCCTTTATATGATTATAGAATCATGATAGCTTGCTGTTTAGATGCATTGTCATCTTCTGAACAAGTTTGTTTATTTTTTTCAGTTTCTAATGCATTCATAAATATTTCTTTATTTTCAAATGAAACGTAAAGATTTTTGTTATGAGATGAAATCGAAGGTGTAACTCTTGAATTATTATCCTTTGCATTTTAATTGATATCCATTTTTTCATTGAAATACTAACAAAAGTTTTATTGTTTAGCATCAGAATGTTTTTTTTGGTTGCTGAAATCAGTCTTAATTCTATGACTAATTGATTCTTCATTCTTTTTTGGAGGAGTAGGCTAAGTTCTAATTGGTTAAGTAATGTTCATTTATTAGATATTTGAAATGAGTGGAATGGCAGATTCAACAATTTCAAAACTATCAATAGTTTAATAGTATACTTTTAAGCAATCAAAGACATCGTGGCCTAGATATCCATAGAACCCATAGAATATAATTGGATGTATTAATTTTGTATCTCTTATTGAAATTCACCAAATTTAGTAAATTTAGAATGATGTTGATTCATAACTTCTCTAAATAAATTCATATCCATATTATCTAAGACTCTTTTCCAATTAGTTTCAATTTCATTCTAAATTTTCTTAGTATCCAGTTAATTAGTTGTCAATTATTGAAATAATTTAGTAATAAAGGATAGGGTTTATTATTTTGAATTAGACAATTGATTCATACTTCTCTAATATATTTCTTCTAAGAATATTGATAATTATTATTTAGTTTCTCTACATAAGTTCATTTATTTTTCATAATAATTTTGCAACTTATTACCTTAACTTGATAACTAATTTAGTAATTCTTATCTATTGTTTTGAATTTAATATAGTAATGCGAGAAAAACCTTCATTTCTCTTTCTTTAAATTATATGTCTACTGATGATGATTATCTTTGAGTTGAATCTAAAGAACTTTATTAAAATGAAAACGTTTATGAATCTATTGTTGATTATTTTAATTATGCAATTTCAGTAAAGAACATTCCTTTGCCTGCTAATTTAACAGCACATTTAGAACAAAAGAAGAGATAATCATTTCCTTCTTCTGTCACATATTTAGCCTTCTTGTCTTTATGATAGATACAGAATCTTTAAGGTTATTAAGGAGGCTTTGGAAATGGAGATAATGTTTTGACTCCGAATTATAAGTGCATTCCAATACTATCTCCAATCTATCATTTAATAATTAGATTATACACTTGATGTTTGTTCAGAACTACTAAAAGCACTTGGTGATCCTAAATTAAGGATATGGGATTGATTTTCTTTATCGAATTACATTATTTTCATACATTACAATTATTCTTCCACTACAGATTTACTTTTACTATGTTCTGTATTTTATGATGTTGTTGTAAATCTTTTAGGAGTTGGTGTAATGGTTACAATCTCAGATCTCTTAGTATCTTATAAAGATTATTGATGATGATTTCTATTTCCATATGAAAGTGAATTTGTAGAACTATGTCCTTTTAATTTTTACTATTAAATCTATTATTAAATAGATAAATATGGGCCAAAATGATTATTTTTCTATTTTTGATTACTTCCATTTCCCTTTGGAGATGATACATCTGTTTCTTATTATAATAAATATTAAATACTAAAATGATTTTATAGTAATTATGCCACACTCTCTTTTATGTCTAATGGAGAATGAGATTTTAATTGATATTTCGTTGTTATTGGAGTAGAAATTATGTGCTAATCTTAAACTTAATGCTTTTTAGACAATAAATTATTTATATCAGAATCTTGCTTAGTATTTTTAAGCAATTATCTAATTGCATCAGAATTAGGAGAGTAATCTCTTTTTTTATTTGGATGATTTATGGCTGATAATTTTTCTTAAATAGACTCAATATGTGAATTGCTTTTATTTTATAATGACATATTAGATTTATGATTAGATTATTAAGGTTTCTATGATGGTTTAGTACAATAATTTTATTATTAAGGTGGTGATTGTCTATTATCAATTCCTTCATTTTGTTTACGTTCAAAACAGTTAACATGTAATTAAACAGGAATAAGTTGCTGAAGCTTTGATTTATCAGGTAATTTGGAAAATTAAGAGGCTAAGAATTATTAAGTTTGAGATGTCTTTGTTTGATGTGATACTTGTTAATTCATTTATTTTAATATATTTTAACAACGATAATTCAAATTCAAATTTAATATAAATAGTTAGGGTTTCATTTACACTCATCATTAAATTAAAATTAATTAACTTCTACATGTTTCTTATTAGAAGATAACTTGCCACTACCTATTTCATTTGTTTCTTCTGGAATACAATTAGGATCATCTTATGGAGTCTTATGTTAATCAAATTGTTTAATTGTTGGTGTAGATTAAGCTTTGTTTATATTATGTAATGAAAATTAGGATCTAAGCTTTCTCATTTCCATTCTTTTTTATATATTAGATTCTTATGCATTCATACCTGCTTCAATTTACTAATGAATAATCATTTCATATTTTACTACCTACGATATTCTTCTTTCTTATTTCTTAAATTAACTGGCTATCTCTTTTGCTCTACCTTCTGTTTAAATTATTATTTATTCCTCAAAAACCTAATTTTAAATTTCTTTAATTTTCTCTTCCTTTTCTTATTCTATTATATTTTTTTATTGAGGTCTTTCTTATTCCTCTTCATCCCCACTTCGACTACTTTCTGTATTTTTTATTATCTTACTAAAACTTTAACTACTTGGATTCTTATTAATTGATGAACCACATTAAAAAAATTTATCAACAACAGGTTCTTAAAAACTAAATGAAAGTATATTATTATCAGATTTTTTTGATGTCTTTGATTTATTCATAAATGAATACGAAGTTTACTGTACATTTATTACGGGTACTTCAATTTTCTTCTTTTCAGGTGGTGTACTTTATTTGGCTTATTCTGATGGCTATAAAATAGATGGGTTAGTAAATATGTTTTTTAACTTTATTTCAAAGTATTCATGTGCACGATCTTCACATTCCTTATAATACTCTACTCCTGCCTATTCATTTAGAATAGAGGTTTTACCATATACAATTATATCAAATTTTTAAGGGCCTCGTTATTGGAGTAATTACTCAGCACTAAAATGATGTCATTATTTAAAATCTATAACGCAAAGTCGTCTGGCAATGCTTTAGTTTGCTCATGAAATTATCATGAAATAATACTTGGCACCTTGAATTCACTTTAACTTGTGGTTCGAAACTACGATAGGAACAGCAAATGATACCATCTTGGAGAGAAGTTATGACATATGTTGCTTATTTTATATATTATTATTAATTTATATAATTTAAAATATATATATTTCTATAAAATATGATTTTTAAATATATCATTACACATCAAGTTTGTTTTTATTTTCAAACATTTTTTCATAAACTTGTTCATCATTACACAATTTTCTTCTCAGGATGTTCTAAGAATATATAAAATTATCTTACTGTTTCAATAAATGGATTAAATTTTGAAAAATGAGATCTACATTAACAAGCATTTCGTGTTTAAATTTCTTCAGACATCATTTTAAAAACACGATTTAATTTTTTATGGACAGTTGTTCTAAAGAGATCGCTATGCAGTCTAACAAATTACAAGAATTTATAATGTTCCTCATTAGACCAGTGACCTAAATATTTCGTGAATTTTAATACCTCTTTATTTTTTTACTTTTTTCTTTGATTCGAGATCCTCTTTCAAATCAGTTTTTTCAATAGTATTTTGAGTCTTCATTCTTTCTAAACTTTAAAAATCCCCATAATTTTAGATTTCATTCATCTAATGAGGATAGAGATTATTGGACTAATTATTGTTTAAATCCATTTATGGCATGTTTTAACATCCAACTTAATATGAATTATTTTGTTGCTACTAGTTGTTCATCTAATTGTTCATCTAATTGTTCATTTGGTACCAATAAGGGACTTAACAATATTGATAATATTGCCAATAATCTAATTTAGTCTTTACAGATACTTACTGTTTTATTAGGAATTGGGATAGTAAGAGTAATAAGGGTTCATACTCAATGTTTAAAGAAAAATGTTTTTCTAAAAAAAACTTAATAATCTTGAATACGTAAAAAATTAAAGTAGGATTTATATACAATATTACCGGACAAATCTCCTGAATTTGCCAAAATAATTAAAAATATAATATAATATATTTAAGAAAAAATATAAACTCATGGAATTCTGGCAGTCTAATTCATATTATTTGTCCTAACAGAGGATGTAACTTTGACATCTTAGACTGTTTAAGTGAAAGTTGGTTGTGTTTATTGTCTTTTTTTTATAGATTATAGTTCTGCTTCAGCAAATGCCAATTTCTCTTAAACTTCAAAATATTTCTTATTTTAGTCCTCAAACTTCTTTTTCCATTGATTTGCCTCCTAATTTAAATATTAAAAAATTTATACATTAACATAATGAGTTACGTAAGTCTCCGTTTTTGATTAGGATGACTATTAATTTTATAATTATGTTTCCAATTCTTCATTTTTTTCATTTAGTTCTTTTATTTATTAGTCTTTTTCTAGGAAAGTTCTTTAGACTTTTCTTAATTCTAGTTCTAATTTAGCAATCTAATCCTTATATTATTATGCTTTATTTTCTTGATTCAATTAAACTTATAATTGTAATTAATTATGTTCTTAATATAAATTTTCATAATCCTATGAACTTTATTTTAATTTCAATTACAATTATTCGATTTGTTATTGTTGTAAATTAATTTTATTTTAAAAATCTGTAGGATTTATAATTTTAGTTTTGAGTAACCCATTTTCTCTATTTAGATTATCAATAACTTATCTTAATCTACTCATTTCAGTATTTAATTAAGTCAATCGACTATCTTTTTCTAATGATTCAGTTTCAATATCTTAAAATCTTCCTTTCCATCTTTCCATTTCATGATTCTTTTAATCATTCAAAACATTAACTCTCTCTACTTCTGTAGTCATTAAAGCAAGTTTACTCTATAATTCTCTGATTTATTATTCTTTAGTCTTCTATATAACACTGCTTTCTTCATTGAATCCAAAAATCTTAAATTCAAGTTCTTTATATTTCTTTTACCATTCTAAAACTAAATCTTTTTACATTTTAATTTCATGGTTCAAAATGATATTAGTCTCTTATAAATCTATATTTTAATTATATAAATAAATTACCTCTTTTAGTATTGGATAATTCTTATTCAACTCCATATTGAAATCTAACTTCAGCTTCAAAATCAGCATATCTTTTTTTCCAAATATCAATTTCCTATTATAATTCAAATGTAATTTTCATGTATCTTTATATTTCTTCTTTCAATTAATTGATTCTAGTTACATCTTCTCCAATAGATATTTTTTCAGTAGCTTAAACACTTCTTAATTTAATATTCTCCATTTATAAACTATTAAGTTAATTTTCTATTTTTTAAATCTTTTCTTAATATGCTCTATCTAATTCATCTCTTTTGATCACTTAAACTGGATGTTCACTTATATGAATCTCTTCTATTGTTGGCTTAACTGGTAATTAAATAGGTTAAATTGATGTTAATTATGGTCGAATATACGGCGATTAATTAATATATGTTGGTATTGATTTTTGAGGTGAAATTAATTAAGGTTGCAAGATTTATGGTCTTATTGGTGATACAAATGAATTAGCATTATTTGGTGATGTTGTATATGCCATTGTTTATTATTCAGGTGATCCATATGGTTTTTAAGGCGATTCATATGTTTTCATTCCTGTCATTGGAGTTAAATGATGTAAATGAGAATCATTAGTTGTTGCTTATTAATATTATGGAATCTAATCTAAATTTCTATATAAAGTAGGTCGCTGTTCAGTCGTAATATTATCGTACATCAGTATTTTATTTTCTCAAATAAATTTTTATTTCTAAAAAATTTAAAGAACTCATATTTATAATGAAAAAATCGAGCGATCTCACTATTGTAAATTTATTCATTAAACTGCCATAGAAATCTACAAATGAATCAGAATCTCGTAAATTTACAGGCTTCAATCCCAAAACCTCATTACATGCTCCTTTTAATCGCACTTATATTCGACACTCAATAAAAGAGTATTTTCCCAATAAATAACACACTCAACATACTCAACATACTCAACACACATCTATACAAAATACTTAACCAAGCATTAAGTCACCTTCTAATTCTAAACCTATAAGTTTAGCTAATGCTTGTATATAGTTTTATTTTATTTAGTATCTCTTATTTCTAAAGATGAAACTAATCCTACTAGCAGACGAACTAGTCGTAGATTAAATACCAATTAATTAAAAAATATTTTAGCATAAGAAAAGGTTTCTTTGGATAATGTTCGTAATCAATTTCTATTAATTTTAAGGGTTTAATACTCAATTTCAAAATCCTTAACCTATTATATAATTATTCGCATAACATAACTCACCAAAAAAGAGCTTGAAAACTAGTCCAGATACTAAGCATCCTATTATTCAAGAGACATTCAAAAATCGTATATCACATAAATTATCTGGACATATGTAAGATAAAATTGACTAAATTCCATAAATCACTTCTGATTCCGTTAAGTAAAGAATTTCAACCTTAAAATAAAAATTAAGAGGCAATATTTAATAGAGATTTTATAAATTCAATAATAATTTTATAATTCAAAATCCAAATTCATTTAAAGAAGATATTGAATATAAATTCAGCAAACCTTCTAAACCTCAATTACCTTAAACACCTTAAATTGTTTTAGAACATTATTAATCTTAATTAAATGAATATGAAAGGAATGAAATTAAAGATATAGATATTATCTATTACTTAAGACCTGAAAATGTAAAACATCCCTAAGATACTGAATTTAATTTTGGATTTGATACAGATAAGTATTAATATTATTCTATTTAATAGAGGTGATTACATATTTTAATAAAATGATCATATAAATTTTCGTTACGAAATGTTAGAATAATTGGGACATGGAAGTTTTGGATATGTTTTTAAAGTTATGGATCATAAACATTAATAAAATGTTGCTATAAAAATCATAAAAAATAAAGAAAAGTTTTAAAAATAAGCATTGATTGAAATAGAAATCTTGAAAGTTATCAATAATGCTGATAATAGTTGTTGTTTAATAAAGATGTTAAATTATTTTGTTTTTCGTAATCATGTAGTATGATAATCATCATTATTAGAGTGTATGGTTTTTGAATTATTGAGTTGCAATCTTTATGAATTTTTGGGAATAAATGATTTTTAAGGATTTGAACTTGATTTAGTCAGAAGATTTGCTATATAGATATTATAAGCACTTTTGTACTTATCTGAATGTAATATAATTCATTGTGATTTAAAACCTGAAAATATACTATTAAAAGAAATATCACGATCAGGTATAAAAATCATAGATTTTGGGTCTAGCTGTTTCATAAATTCTAAATTATACACTTATATATAAGTAGTTAATATAAAACTTCGTTTTAGAGTAGATTTTATAGAGCTCCTGAAATTTTGCTAGGTATACCCTATTCAAATTAAATTGATATGTGGAGTTTTGGATGTATCGTAGCTGAGCTTTTTTTAGGTAACTCATTATTTCAATCAAAAACTGAAAAAGAATTGTTATTTCTTTAAGTATCAATTTTAGGAAAACCATCAAATCAATTTTTAGATTCTTGTCCTAAGAAACATAAATTTTTCAATGCAAATAATGAACTTTTATGTAAAACAAAAGATACAGATTTGATAATGCAAATAAAACCTTTAAAAGAGTTGCTTTAAACAGGATCACCAATTTTTTACGATGTTTTGTAATATAATAATAATTTAAGTTCGTAAATAAATGTTTATAATGGGATCCAAATATTAGAATGAAAGCAGCTGAAGCATTAATGCATCCTTGGATAATTGAAGGTTTACCTTAGGATATAAAGTAATTATATATGTGAGATAATATAATAGAAAATAACATTTATAGTAGATGAAGCTTTATTTATAATAAAAGAATTAAGATTTATAAGGATAAGGGATATAATAAAGATGATAAATATAAAAGTACTTCTATATAAATATATCTAAATAAATTTTAATAATTAATAGAAAAATATATATTCTCTAAGTTTTTCATGAGGTAACAATTTGTGAATAACATATCATAATACCCTTGATATTAGGAATTTAGAGATTAACCATAAATGAGGAGTCAATCCTGATAAAGACTGTTCTAAATTCATAAAAGTTCATTAAGTTTTGGATGGCAATATTAATTTAAACGAGAAATAAACTATATCTAAGAGAAGGGTTGCTTGCATCATGATTGATACTAATTTTATGTGTGATGATTGATTATAATGATTAAAATTATATATTTAATATTTTAATATTAAGATAATCATAGGATTAAAAGTAATATATTGGTTTTTTGTGAAATCCTTTTAAATAAAGAATAAATTAGCTGTACAGTCAGCTCTTGTAAAATAAGCATTAGTATATTAAATATATTTATTGATCAAATTTTTAATTAATGATTAACTTAACATTTGATCCCATTCATCATCGTTAACTCCATATATATTAACAGAGATATCATTATCATAATTGCTTGAATAGTGTGAAGTATTGTTCCATTTCATACATTTATCATCATCATAATGTGCTTATAAAACACAATTGTAACTAAATTCTTAATCTTCATGATCCTATATCCAAATTGATTTAAATCTTCCACAAAAGCTAAGTATATAGAATCTTAACTCTATGCTATTTCTTTAATCTAAATTTCATTATATATTTCTCATTCATGTCCTTTAATTAATTGAACCAATTTATAAATATACCCATCAAATATCCAAATTCCAATTACTGATAAAAACCGCTAAAGCAAGAAAATTACCATCTTTTGAGAAATTCACAGATCTAATTTATTTTATGACAATCACCAAGAGTTTTCATTTATGAACTAATTACTTTTAATTTATATTCATTATTTATTAATCTCCATAACAATCCAAAACCTTACGTCTCACGTTATTTATTATATCTTTGTAACCTCGTTTTTACCAAATGTATTTCATATATTCAATTACTCCAAATCATAATAATTTGCTTAAATTTTATATTTTATTTTGTCTCTTTTATTTCTGCTTGTACTTATGTCTTAATTATATTCACTACATCAATTAAGCAATTTTAATTTTTGAATAAATCAATTAAAATAACTGATAATTGCTTTAATATATAATTTTAAAGCATGGCAACATAAATAAAGTATATAGGACCATTAAAAATGAAAATTGGATAAATGGCATCAAAATAATAATGAAATTTAATCCAATTTGAATATCATCTCCTATGTTGCCTTACTAAGTATTTTAAATTGAATAATTATTTTTATATAATCAAGTTGTATTTTAAGTTAATTTTTCTCTTCTTTTCTTTTGCTTTTCCCTTATCCAGACATCATTTAAATAAGTATATTTTAAAATCCAATTTTTTTTGCATAAGTCCGAATTTTAACTAACTTTACTTAACACTTTTTTAGCACTTTTTCTTTTTAGAATTAATATTTTTAATCAATTAAATTTCCAATTTTGAGTTGATCAAGTTAAAAAATAAATTCTTTATTTCCTCTTTCTGTTGATTTTTAATTCTTAGATAAAATTAGGCTGCAATAAATAAATTTATTTCATTTCTTTGAGGTAAAAGTATTCATAAACACATTACAAATCTTTAAATTTAAATATATTTTTAGTAATTGGTTGATTGCTATCTTCTTAATTAATTTAATTATTTTATGAACGTTTAAATTTATTTGTTTAATAAATATTTTATGAATTCTAAATAATACTGCATTTGAAAGAGATAACATACCTTTGTATTATTTAATTATTACTCTTTATAATATAATAAGTTAAAATCGATTAAAATTTAATATTACTTTATGAATTATCTTAATATTGATGACACACATGAATTTTTTAATCATTCATTTATATTATTACAATAATAGTATCAAAGGGATGTTCGAAAAAACTCGCAATAGCATTAAAAATGGATCTTAGGATTATATATATAAACGCATTAAATTAATATATTCACTTCATTTTTTAACCTATTATTATTAATAATAATGATTAGCTGTTAATAAAATTATCAAAACATCTCATAAAATTAAGATGACAACATTAATAATAAAATAGACATCATCAATTAGTTATTCAAGTAGATGAATTTAAAAAAAAAGGAGGAAAATAAAGAAACATTACATACAAGAAATATTACATCTGATTCTATTGAAACCCCTATCTATGAAGTTCCTGTTAAACCTCAATAGTTAAATAAAGCATCATCTCAGTTTTAGTCTTATTTAAAGAGAAAATAATAAGCTAAAACTATTGATAAAGTTTCTGAATTTAACAATTAAGAGAATCAATTTTCAGGAGATAAAGATGATGATCTATTAACTGAAATCCGTCCATTTTATGATTAGAATAGAACAACCTTAAGAGAATATTCTTTTAAACCTAATTAACATTAAAGTAATCAAACTTTAAAATTGAGCACTCTTTAATCATAACAACAATCATGTAGCTTATTAAGAACTAAGACTGATAATACAATTGATATAAATAGTCATAAAAATTAGCTGTGCAAGAATATGTCACATAGAGATATGGATAAGGCTTAAAAAAACAAATAAATTATAGAATAAGCATATGAAACCTTTGTTGAAAAGAAACCAGCTAGTAAATCCCCAGGAATTAAATAGTAATAATAACTGAATTTACTAAAAAATAATTTTAAACATAAAATCAATTAACTATTATCGTAAACCCCTGAGAAAAAATTTAGATTGCAAGCCACAATAAAAAAAAACTACTTTATTAATTGATTAAATATATATATATAATTATCAATATAAGGAATCCTTATCATATATAACTAAAATCAATTAATTATTCTTGCTGCAATTTACCCTTTAAGATTAAAAGTTTTTTATTCTCTGATGATAAACATCCTGGCCAATATTGTGCTGCAGATTTTTATTAATCAAAGATTCCTAACTCTTTGTAAAGTGCTGCTACTAATTCAGAATTAAACAATGTTCTTTCGGCCTAAAAAATGTTCATATAATTTACTTTATTTATTGATTTATTACTATCTTAGGTTGGAGATTATTTTCGTAGCATTTTCATAAGATTGAATGAAAATTTTGTACCCATATTTTCATTAACAAATTCTGAAACAATTTGTAAAAATTTTTGATCTCTTTCAATTTCTAATCTTCTTATCATAATTTTATCATACTATTTAAACAATACTCCATGAGCATAATCCTACTCCAAAACATTTAGTAGCTTCCAATGTATACAAGGATCCTGATTAATATCTTAACAAAATAGCAGCATGATCATAATCAGAACCAGTTAATCCTCTTTAAATTAAGGCATTAGTTTCATTGCTTCTAAAAAGAAGAATATCAGCTGTATCACCTGTTTATAAAAACTATTAATATGATATTCTATCTGTCTAAAATTTTATAAATTGTAAATACTCTCCAAAATATAGGATATTTATTCAAAGAATCTAGTACTTGTTTAGCCCCCCAAGAAGTATCTTTATTTTCTTTAACAATTTGATAGCATTTAGTTGTTTCTTACGAAGTTTCAGCTTTAAAAATAAATTTCTTTTTAGAACCATTTGGAATTAATCTTGAAATAGAATTCAAAAATTATACACAAATTCTATTATGTTTTATTGCTAATCTTTGACATCTTATAAAGAATATGACATAATATTAAAATCAAGAACACCATGAGGTGAGTTCCTATCTTCAGGCAAGTAATAAATAAGGCGATTATTTTTACAGACTGTCCATCTCTATTTCCATTCTTATTCAGAATTTTTACTTTTTTTAAGGAGCATTACCTCAAAACTTGGAATTTTTTATTGTTCATTGTTTTTATTTATTACTTAATTATGTTTTATTTCATTTTTATCAATTTCTGTCATTTCATCATTTCCCATATATAAAGTACATTTATTTCCATTATGTTATGTAATGTTTCCATGTAATTGATTTTAAATTTAGTCCTTATTTTTTGATCTGTAATTTCTATCCATTTAAGCAATAGCAATAGCAGCCTTAAATTTTGCTTAAAAAGAGCTTTATTACATTTAAAATAATAATAATTAATGAGAAAGAAGAGAACTTTAAATGAATTTGAATTTGTAGAGAAAAAGGATAATGGTAAAGCTTAAGAGGAATTGGGAAAAGGTGCTTTTGGAAGAGTACGTTTAGCAATAGATAAGTTGACTGATACAAAGGTAGCAATCAAAACGGTAATTAAATATGAATATATTAAATTAGATTCCAAAGAAATTGCTTAAAGAAAATGCTTAGGCTGAAAATATTAAGAGAGAAATTAAATTGCATAGAAAATTAGATCATCCTCATATTGTTAAATTGTATCACTCACTTGAAGATGATACAAATGTTTATTTAGTATTAGAATATGTTCCTATGGGAAACTTGTTTGTATATTTAAGAAAGCGTAAAACATTAGAAGAATAAGAGGCTTTTGTTTATTTTTTGTAAACTGCATTAGCATTAGATTATTTACATAAGAAAGGGATTATACATAGAGATTTGAAACCAGAAAACATTTTATTGGATGCATAAGGGAATATTAAGATATGTGATTTTGGTTGGTCTGCAGAACTTTAACCAGAAAGAAAAACATTTTGTGGAACTTTAGATTACATGTGTCCAGAAATGTTAAACAGTTAAAATCATGATCATAGAGTTGATATTTGGGCTTTGGGTATTTTATTATTTGAAATGTTACATGGTCATGCACCTTACAATAAAAATAGATCTTCATAAGAAGTTGTTATTAAAGCTATCTTAAATGCAGCTACTACTAAAATACCATTTAATGATGTTATTTCTAATGACGTCAAGGATTTAATATAATCACTTTTAAAAGTTAATCCTTTACATCGATTGACTATGGAAGAGGTCTTTACTCATAGATGGATTAAATCTAATGCTAGAACATTATCAATTAATATACCAGAATTTGTTTATGAAAAAGGAGTTAATGAAACTGTTTAATCAATTTAAGATATTTCTATTGATTTTGGTAATCTAACATAGCCTAATAATAATTGCAATCCAACAAACTAATCAAATATTTTATAAAAAAAAGATAATTAAAATTTTAATTCTTAAATATTACCATCATCATAACCATCAATAAATAATTCAGTTTATTAGTAATTATAATAATCATAATAATAAAAATAATAATCTACTACTCCTAATAAAAAACCATCATTTGAATAACTATTTTAATCTAACCATAATCCTATCACTCCAATACCTTAATATGAATCAACTAATAAATCTCCTACAAGATTAACACCTGAATAATAAAGATAAAAAAATGAATTACTTGGAATTAATTCTATGGATAAATCTAAATAGATGGAATAATCTAAATAAATGGAATAATCTAATAGAATTAATTACTAAATGTAATAAAGTTAAGATATACTAAAATAATCTTAAATTAGAGATAAATCACCAAATGAATCTATGTTAAATTCATATAATTAAGGAATATCTCCTAATAAAACTGGTGTTAGTCCCAATAGTAGAAAACCTATTTTAAATGATAAAATGGCTTAATCTCAAATGATTATCAATAAATATACTTAGTAATAAAATAACTAATCATCAATGTTTAAAAGTTAGGATATTGCTAATTAATAATAATCATAATAATCTGAAGAATTTACTAAATATATGTAATAGGAATAAGAAAGAAAAAGAAAGGAAGAAGAATTTAGAAAATAATAATTAGCTGATTTATAAAAAAGAGAGGAATAAAGATTAATAGATGAATAAAGATAGAGAGAAGAAAAATAAAAATAAGAAGAATTAGAGAGATCAAGAAAATTAAGGGAGTAAGAATTAGAAAATTAAAGAAAAATTAGAGAATTTGAAGAAGAACAGAAACGTTTAAGAGAATAAGAAAAATAAAGAAAATAAAGAGAATAGGAAGAAATGTAATAAAAATAAAGAGAATAAGAATTGGAGAAACAAAGAAGAGATTAAGAATTAGAATAAATAAGAAAAGAGAAGGAAGAATAAGATAAATTAAGAAGAGAATAATTAAGAAGAGAATAAGAGGATAGAGATCGTAAAATAAGAGAATAAGAAGAATAAAGAAGAAGAGAAGAATAATAACTATAATTAAAAAGAGAATAGGAAGAAAGATAAAGAAGAGAGTAAGAAAAATGGGAATAAGAATAGAAAGAAAGATTAAGAAGAGAGAAAGAAGAATTAGATAGAAAAAGATAATATGAAGAATAATAATAAGAAAAAATTAAATAATAAGAAAGATAGAAACAATAATATGAAGAATAATTAAGATTATAAAAATAATAGGAATAAGATAGAAAGCTACGTGAGTATGAAGAATAGAAAAAATAATTAAATAGATCTAATTCTAGAAATGTAAGAACTTAAGAGACTGAAGAGGAAAGATAAGCTAAAAAGTTGAAAGAGTTAGAATAGAAAGCAAGATAAGATTATTAATAACATTTAATTAATTAAAGTACAAGTAGTTATGCAAGTAAATAAATGACTGAAAGTAAATAATAAAGAAGATAAATATCTGATGATGATCTTTTTGTTGCAACTAATAATAATTCTTATATTCCTTAAAAATAGAAAAAAGAATTGAATGAAGATGAATTTGAATTAGAATAAAAACTACATAATATGTTAGTTTAAAATCTTTAATTAGAAATACCTCCAATTACAAAAACATTGAAACACGATGAAAATAGTAATCTTGATTGGGATATCAGTGTTATTGAACAATAACAGAAATAAGCACCTTTAATGGAATAATATGAAAATATGCAACAAAAACAAGTTGTAATGCATCAGATTTCATAAAACAATAAATCTGTTTCTCCTAATACTAGATAAACTAGATTTACTCCTAGAGTTACAAAAATGGAAGATAGACCTACACATATTAATAATATGTTAGATGATTAATTGGATGATTGGGATTTAAGTGAAGATCCTTAAGTTAAATTACTCAATTAATTACTTGAATAACCAGAAAGACCAAAAAAGGAAAAAGAAAAATAAAATATTAATTCTAGTACTAATAATGCATATTCATAATAATCTCAATAATAAATTTCTGTTTCAACTTAACCTACAAATAAATTTAGTTTTGGTGAAAATAAAGCAAAATAAAATTTCAAACCAGAAACAGTTGAAAGTGTAGAAGAAAGCTTTAGATAAGATAGATCTATGAGAATGAATACATCAAGAGATAGAAGCAGGAATAAGATACCTGCTAAATCTAACCCTAAATATAAATAAATTTAATAATAATAAGAACCAGTTGAAGAACAATATGATGAAGATTAATTAGAGGATTTGAAGAGATCTAAATCATCCAATTAAGATAACACATATGATCAAAAACTTAAGTAATTTAAAAAATATGACTGTGATCCCTATTCTCTTAATTATCAAAATTAAACTCAAGAATAGTATATAAATTTATATTTATTTAGATATAAACCTAGAAAAAGTAGAATAAGTGAAAGATAGAATAGAACTATTCCTCAAAGGCCTCTATAAGAAATGGATTTCTTTGATAGACTAAAATTTGCTTTTGGGTGTTTGTCTAGAAGATAATGAAAGTAAAACAATTTCAACTAATATTTTTTATTATTTATTTATATTATATTATTATTATTATTATTAATATTAATATTATTATTATTAATATTATTATTAATATTATTAATATTATTATTTGAATTCACAAATTAACATCTATATATCCTCTTATAGAATTACTTGAATTTATTGATTTAATAGAAAATGGGTTGTTCTTAATCTAATCAACAAAAATTAACGGAATAACTAATTATTTCAAAGAAAAACGTAATTTATAAATAGAAAAAATTTGATAAATAAGCACAGAGAAAAAGAAATGTCAAAATTAAATATTTTGTTCAAAGAATTGGAAATTTTTAGAATATAAATAAAAATTAAAATTATCTGAGAGCTCTATATATCGTAAGAAAGTTTTAAATAAATTTAGAGAGTTTAGAGGAGAAAAGAAGATTGAAATAGTGTTTAAACTGCCTTTGGTATTTTATTTTTGAATATTCTCTTAATGAAAAGTGATAAATAAGGGTTCATTAATTTTTGTTGAAATATCAAGCATAGGAGTTGAAAATATTAAAAAAGATAGGAACAATTTGATTAAACTTTATTTATTCAGAATTTTTCAAAGATTACAAAAATAATGAGATTTAAGTGAGGAATAAAAGAGTGAAGTTGAAAATATCAAGAAATTCTAAGATTACGAAAATAAAATAGAATCCTTACTGCAAATTTGACATTTTTTCGAAATCTTCCTATTAAGACTATATTGATAAAAATCAAATTTTATCTAAGTATTAATTTTTGTAATTATTGGGAAAATAACCATAATCTTTATTTAGAATAATGAATTTTATTGAAGGAATAAAAGGAGAAAAATCAAAATTGAGTTATATATGGTTAATTTATCTCAGACTATAATGTTATTGGAACATTATAATCACAAATTTAAAATTTACTAAAGTATTCTATAAAATAAATAATAAATCAATATTCAAAATCAGTTCTATAAAATGTTAAAATAAAGAGATAATAATTAGTATGTTGAGTTTAAAAATAAGTAATTATATTTTTGTAATATTTTATGATTTGTAAGAAGGCTTTTTTTAATATACCAAAAATCTGTAAGAGTATATTTAAATGATATATATATTAATTATTATGGTTTCTTAGAAAATAACAATAATAATATTTTTATTAATTTGTTAATTACTTTTCATAAAATAATAGTGTTAATGTCTTCTAATATTTTTTAGAGTATATGTCAAGTTCACAATAGCGAAATAATTGCTATAAAATTGTCTCCCAGTAAGTAAGTAGATGATAATCTTATGTGCATATATTGTTTAACAGGAATGGGTTAGCAATTTGTTGTACCAATAAACGAAATCTAAAAGTTGTATGATACAAAACTTACCATTATTAAACAGTTCCATTCAGAAAAGAATTAATTAATAAATTCATCACTAAACATAATAATTGATACTTTGAATTAATTGAAAAAAGAAATGAATATTTCAATAAATAAAGGAATTTAGTTGATTTAAAATCAATTGTAATAGTAATCCTTGAATTAGTAAGTTAATCTTGAAGATAGTGAGAAGTCTTTAAGTGATTAAATTCAATTTATAATTAGTACTGACTTCAGTTACGGTTAATAATAACAAAAGGAGGATGAATTTACTTGGATATAATCCCTATCTCAAGAATTGAAGAAATTTAATAAGATTTAAGAAATATAATACTGTTTATAAATATCAGAAGATCTTAAAAAATAAAATTTAATTAAAGATCAAAATATCAATCCACCAAATTTAATTTAAAAATTGCTGCAATCAATTTCTTATTCAAAATAAAATGAAAGAACTCCTAAATTAGAATTGAATTGTAAATTGCACGGCAAAGAAATAATTATGTTTGATATTAATTAAGCAACAGATAAGGAAAAACGCTTATGTTGTATAGAATGTATGCCATTATAATATATATCTTTGAGTAAAGCCTAGGAAAAATGGAAATAATTTGAGGTTAGAAAAAGTAATTATTTTTAATAATAAATTATTGATAAAGAATAATATTATGAATCACTCAAAGAACAGATTATTAAAATTGAATTTTAAATTATAAAATAGATTAAGAATTTAAGGTTTAGTTTTGAACAGAATTTATTCAAAATGAAATAAAAACTTGCCTTTATTCTTAATTAAATGCATATGAACTTTCAAAATTTTACTTTATTAGAATTATAAGAAAAAGCTCAAATTTTAAGCAAATCAGAAGAAAGTTAATAAAGATTAATTTTTTCAGAATATTAGGAAATTTAAGATTCTATTCTTTAATAATTGAAGGAATAGCTTTAATAGTTGTAATTTAATGAATAAAGTTTATATGATAATTTAAGATCTATGTTATGCAACTCATAAGAAATGAGTAAAGCAACAAGTTAGTCAGATTAATAATTAAATCTCAATAATATTCATAATTTTATAATTGAAAACAGAGATATCTCAAATAATAATTAAATTGAATAATTTACATAAAGATCTCAAGAATCTTAAGAATGCAATAGTAATACTTTATAGGCATTATAAATCGTAAATGAAAATCGTTTAACAAGAAGTGTTTCAGCTTAAGTGAAATCAAAATTTATATAAAATGATTATTAATAAATAGAAGAAAACAAAACTGTAATCTAATAAGAAGAATAAGGATATAAAATAATTTAAAATTTTCCATAAAATTAAAATTGTAATGCAATTTCTTTTAATCATGATAATCAAATAATGGTTAGTGGTTGTCAAAATGAGATAACTATTTGGGACTTTAATAATGGAAAAATAATTAAAAAATAATAATTAGTAGGGCATACAAATTTAGTTATATCATTGTGTTTCAGTTTAAATAAAAATGAATTCATATCAGGAAGTACTGATAAATCAATAAGATATTGGTAATTTTTAGAAAATGAATGGATTTGCTCTTAAGTATTATTAGGGCATAAGAGATAAATTGATTGTTTATTATTTGATAATAAAGGTGATTAAATTATATCTTGTAGTTCTGATAAATCGATAAGAATATGGAGAAAAAACTAATAATTAAATTGGATATAAGTTTAAGTGTTGGTTAATCATTAAGCCTATGTTAGATGTATTAGTTTCAGTAAATCTTAAGAGAAGTTTGTATCTTGTGGAGAAGATAAAATTATTATTGTTTGGGAAATTGATGAATTTAAAGAATGGAAATTGAAATAAATAATTAGAAATTCTGACTATGGATATCGTATATGTTTTGTTGATGATTAATTTTTAATTTGGCAACCAAGAAATATTAATTAAGCAATTATTTATGAATGGAATAGTAACTTAAATTAATTTGATTAAAGTCTTCAAAATATTTAATTATTATAATCAAGTAATGGATATCAGAATTTCTTTCCATCTATTTATAATGAGGAAAAATAAATAATTATCAATAAACATGGTAGATATGTATATGTTTTAAAAAAATTAATTAATAATACAATTATAATTTCATAAGTAATTGAAGTTGGTCATTATTGTAATTATGGCTCATTAAGTTAAAATGGTGAGTACTTGGTGATATGGGATGAAGATTCAAGAAATTTTGTAATAAGAAAATTTACATTATGATAATTATAAAGATAATCAATATTAATATTACAATTCTTTTACAATCAATAATATTGTGTTGATTGTGAATATTGAATATATTTAGTAAAGTGACATATTATTAATACATTTTAAATTAATCCGTAATTAATTGAATGAGTCTAATCATTTTTCTGATTTGTTTATTGAAGTTAAAATCTGTTTTAAATTGACAAAGATTTATATGGATTACAATAAGTTTATGACTAATAATAAAATTTGTAAAGTAATTCACTATGGGAACTTGTTAAGTTAGATCTCAAAATATGGATTAAAAAAAAGTTGATGATTAAATTGAGACAACATCACAACCCAATATTTAATAATTACAACTTACTCCTTTGGTTTGTAATATTGTTGGAGATTAGGATAAAATGGATGATTTATTCTTAGATTTTGAAAGATAACCATCATTGAAACTTGTTTAACAGACTACAAGTGTATAAGAAAATGTAAAATAATATTTTATGGTAAGTTCCAGCTATCTTCTAAAGTCTAAATTACTCATGATCCATAATCTTAGTCTCTAGACCATTCATAGTAAACAAACAAATCACCTTAGAAATCGAAAAACTTGAATAATAAATTTAAAGAGATGATATATTGAATTACAATCAGAAAAAGTACATTAAATTTAATTTATATCCATTAATATACTATAAATTAACTCACCTTCAACTCCTTTCAAGCTTATGTAGATTTCTCAACTACCATTATAAATTATTAAAAATTTTTTTATCATATTTATTAAATAATTAATATCTAATTAATTAAATATGATTATTTACAGAATTATTTTTATTAAACATAATAATCTTAATTCTAAAATAGATAGATTTCTTTTTTATTAGATTTGAAACTCTATTAGAGAATAATAGTGTTTCTAAATATAGTTTTACAATTCAAAGTATTTTTCTCTAAGAAAAAAATGAAATCTTAGAGTTAAATTATCAAAATTTAAACTCAATTTTAAGAATTATATTATTTATTTACTTTTCTAAGCTTTATTTTAATTTTAATAACATTTCTTAAGCCTTGAAATTTTATTTGAATATATTCGCTTCTAAAATAAAATGAAATAGAATATTATAATCTTTATGTGGTTTTTTATTTTAAAATAAGTATAGAACAAATAAAATAATAAATTTATGAAAGTTTCTTAATAATTTTGATTCAATTTTAGTAATCTATAATTTCATAACTTCCTGGTCCTAATCCAGAATGTTTTTCAACTTCAAATCTTTTGGATTTACCAAAGCTAGTATTAGTGTTACTTTTCTTAATAGATTCAGAATAATAAAGAAAATCTTTAATATCATAGCTACCAGGTCCTAATGAATCATTAATTTTTGATTTTTCCTCTTAGTTTTATTTTAATATTTTTCCTTTTTTTTTATCAATATGATCAACTTAAATGAAATCTTTTATATCATAAGATCCAGGACCAGGAGAATTAAGTTTCTCATGAGCTTTTCTTCTAATTCTTTCTATATTTTTTCTTCTCTTCTATTATTTAATTTACATTGCAGATTTTGGTCTTTAATTGCTTTCCTCTTTTTTTTTATTTAATTATTATTTGACTAATTCTTAAATAAATTTATCTTCTTTTCTATTGTAATAAGATCTGACCATAAGTTTAGGTTTAAGAAGTCTTTCTATTCTATCTATCTTTTTTTTCTCTACCTTCTGATTAATGTTATATGTTCCAGGTCCTGGTGTTATAAATTTAGGATCATTTTATGATAGTTTTCTTGAAGTTCCAAAAGAAATACTTCGAAATGATTTTAGATTTAAATCATAGGTACCAGGACCTGGAAACTATTCTTATTGTTCACTATTATGTCTAGAATTGAAAACAAATGTTTTTTATTACTTGTTATATAGAATATTATATTATCCAGGTCCTGGATTTTAGAATTTTTATAATTATTTTCTTTAACCTTTTGTAAAACTAATGCTAGGGCAATTTTATTGAAGATGAGCTGGATTTTAAATCTCATAAGAACCAGGTCCTACATTTTATTTATATCTTTGAGAATTCTATCTATAATAAGTATAAGAATTCAAGTTTTCAGAATTAGACAAAATTTGTTCTTATGTTTTTATTCGAATTCTCGGAATTGAATTTATTTTCGTTGTAATTCCTGATCTATTTGAATAGGCACTCAGTCTCATTTCATTAAGTAATTTATTCACTTATGGCTAATTGGAAGCCACTCTAATATGATGATCAATTTTGACTACATTTCAGCAACTGGAAGAACCTTATCTATATATTGAATATCTAACATCAAAAATTATAGTAATAATATATATTGTAATTAATTAAGTTTTTAAATATTGAAAATAATTTTATTATTAATAAATATACTCATTCTATTTCATAGATTATGCAAAAAATACAATTTTTATTTAATTGTCCTAAATTGCAACATTTAAGAAATAATAATTTCAAATTTTAATTGAAAAAACTCCATTGATTAAATAGTGTACTTAATTTTTATGAAAGATTTTTCTATAAAATTTGCTTGTAAGAACAGAAACCTAAATTTTCTGATATTTATATCCATGTTAATTAAATTCATTTCATATTAAATTTAAAAACTTTATTTTTGCATCAAAATGAACAGATGGGGGTTCTCATCTAACCATTAATAAATTAATGATGAATTTGATTCATATGGAGGATTAATAAAAATTAATTATTAAAAAAATATGCAAGACGATTAAGACTAACCTTTAAAAAACTATAAATCTCCCCATGATAATAATCGTGCATAAAAATAAAACAAAAGAGGAAAAAAATAAAATCAGCAACATTAATATTAAAATAATGAAATATGGGAACCAAAATACATACCAAGTGTATAATCCAATAATGGACATTCTAATTTATATGAAGAAAAAATTTCTTAACAATTATATCAATAAAAATATTATCAGCAGCCTCAAGATTTTTCACCTCATGGATCACAGATTTCAGAAAGTAGCTCTTATTCAAATGATTTTTTAAAATAATCAAATAATTAATCATCAAGCAATTCATAATAATAATTCTATAATTAATAATAATATTAATATTAGTATTAATAATAATAATAATAATAATAATAATAATAATATTAATAATAATAATAATAATAATAATACTAATAATAATAATACTAATAATAATAATAATACTAATAATAATAATAATACTAATAATAATAATACTAATAATAGTAATATCCTACTCCATCTTAAGATAATTAGTTCTATTAAAAATAAAATCCATTTCCCAACTAAATATAAATAAAATAATAATATTAAATAAATTAGTAAGATCAATAATAATTTTAAGTATCAAATAATTAAGATTCTTAATAAATAATTAATTAAAAATAAAATGACTAATCTGACTTTGTTGATCTCTAAATGCCATAAAAAAATAATTAAAATAAAAATATATAATAAATGTAACAAACTCTTTAAATTCCAAAAGCGATCATCACTCAAATAAAAAAGGAGGAATAAGACAATAATAATAATATTTATTATTAGTATCACAAACTTATTGATTAGTTTTTTTCATATGCAGATATTGAAATAAAAATTTCAAATATTAGTTAAGTTGTTTAACCTAGCCTAAATGAAATTTATGGGCAATTACCAGATTTAAAATTAAAAATAGAACAATAACAGGTTGATTTAGAGGAATATTATTAATAACAACGGATATATTAAATAAAAGAATAAAAGGCCAACAATATTTCATAATTAGATAAAATGACAATTTTACATTGTTATTTAATGAAATAGTTTTACATTTAGGCTGAATAAATAAAAGTAAAAATAATGATTAATTACCAAAAATTTTAATATAAAATAGCACCATAATTTTCAAACTAAGTGAATGATGGATCTGCAAATACTATATATAAAATGTTTAAATAAAGATTTGATAGTTCTTTTATTTTGTAAATGCAATTTAAGTCTGAATTTGAAGCTAAATCAATAGCAAAAATATTGAATGGAATAAGAATTAAATAATCTCTATGTAAAGAAATTGAATTCAAGGATCCAATCATAATTTTAGCATCTGAATTGAATCTTAATGAACTTCAAGAGTGTTAAACCCTATATGAATAAGGAGTTTTAATTTAAAAACAGAACAATTTAATCTTTGTTATAGCATAATTTAACTTAAATATTAACATTTCTGATTAATAGTTAAAGTTTGAAAATTTTGTTTAAAATACTCAAATTATTAAGCAGATCAAAGAAACTTTTGATATTGATTATTCAATATCAAAAGACATTAATGAGATTGATACATGTATACAGAAGCTTTAGTTAGAAGAAGAACTGATTGAAATTACTGTTACAGCTCCATAATTTAATGCTCAAAATAAAGGAAAATATTTCGTATAAGCTGAATTATAATTTTGGATTGAAAGTTTTGAATCAGAAAATAGAATTATGTAAAGATTAAAAGAAGTTAAACAAAAATTATATGATATCTATCATCCAAAATTGTTTATAAAAATATCAGAAGAAAAAAAAATTAAATTATGGAATAAATTTTTAAGCTCATAATTTGAAAATTAAAATAATTCGAAAGAATGCATAACAAAATAAATTAAGAATGAATTGATCATCGAGCTTAATGGAGATTATTAGAATATTTAAGAAAAATATGAAAAAATAAATGAATCATTAGAAAAATTTTCATGTGAAATTGTCAAATGCTAATGTGATAAATAGGTTATATAAGTATTAAAAAGTAAGGAAGCAAAATAATTAGAAAAGTTGTTTAAAAAAAATTTTACTGAAATTACTTTAGAATTTGGAAATTGTTTAATTATAATGGTGAATGTTTCTGAAAAATAATCAAATGTTGAAGTTGATGTTTATTTTAACTTTTAAGATTTTTCGTTAAAAAAAATTAGTGAAAAATTAGAAGAATATTTTGAAAACTTGGAATTTTCGGAATTAAAGAGTGACTTTAAAGAATTTTTAAGTCATTATGGTTTAAAAGAGATTTCATTTTAAGATTAGTATCAAGTTGCTGTAGCAGCATTTGATTAAAAAAAGGGAGTCTAGATTGTAGGCTAATAAAAACAGATAGAAGAAATAAATAATATGTAAAAATAGTTTGATCAATCAAAATAAGAAAATTTAACTTCGACTATTATTGATTGTGATAACATCTTGATTTTTAATAAGATAAAATCTTTGTAATCTAAATTAAAAGTTAGTAATGATGATAATTTAGTCATTAGTTTTCCTTAAGAAAATAAGATAATGATTTAAGCATCAAAGAAATAAATAGAAAAGGAAAAAGATTAGATGATTAAGAAAATTAATGAATTGAAAAAAGAAATTTAAACTAAAACATGTTAATTTTCAGATAAAGAAATAAAGTTTATTGAAAAAAACTTTAAGCCTCTTATCGAAAACCTACAAAAAAACAATGAAATCATTATATCTACATCGAGTTCAGCTCAGATTTAAAGTTAATCACAAAAATCAGTTGCATGTACTCTAGAATATTAAGACAAGAAGTTACAAATAATTTATGCCGACATTTCAACAATTTAATGTGATGCAATAGTAAATTCATGTAATAACAAAATGTCTTTTGGTGATCCCTTATAACTGAGTGGTGTTGCGTAAAGCATTTTTTAAATGGGTGGTGCCTCATATCAATCATTTTGTTAAGATTACATAAGACAATTTTATGAATTGAATGTGGGGACTGTAGCTAAATATAAAATGCCTTTAGGAAGATAGATTAAATATATATTAAATGTAGCAACTCCAATATATACTTGTGGGAATTAAGCAGATGATGATCTTAGGAAAATAAAAGATAATATTGAGGCAATATTCAAGGAAATCAAGAATATAGATGAAGATTTATAAACTTTGGCTATTCCAATTTTTGGAGGAGGAGCATGTGGATATAGTTTTGAATAATCTGCATAAGTTGTATTAAATACTACAATAAATTTATTATATTCTGAAAAAAACTCAATTAAAACAATTTATATTGCAGAATTGAGTGATGTAAGAATTGAATAATTGACTAAAATTCTCAAAAAGTTATTAGAACCCCCTATTAAGGAAAGAGAAATCAAATATTAGTGGTAATGGTAAGACTCAAATACTTATAAAGATTATGATGACGAAAATATTAATTAATAAATTGACGAAGCTTATGAATAATTCGAATTAACAGGTCAAGAATAAAAAGTTCTTTTAAAATTCCCATTCTCTAAATAACCTGGTACTCATCAGATTGATTTAATTAAATAAACAGTCACTGACATTTCTTTAAATACTTAGATAAGTTTAATTTCTAAAATGGTTTCTAATACAAGAAAGTTTTACTTCAATTAAGAAGAAGTTGATGATTAATTAAATGAATATTTGATGCTTTAAGAAATGGGTTAAATTAATAAGTTTACAATTTTTTACAAAAAACATTTTGTAGTATTTAAAAAAGGAGAAATGTATTAAATGAATTAAGAGACTCAATATAAGAGAAACATTAAACCTACATATTACTAAAAATCTAATAAATAATCATAAAAGAAAACCAATAGGTTAGTTGGTAAGAAATATAATTTCTAAGAAACTATTAATCAAATTTCTAAATTAATTTTTAAAAAAAATAATAACAATCTTTTCACAATTTCTTCATTTGATGGAAGTTGTAATGAAAAAATTTTTTTAAATATTCAAAAAGAATTAACAAAATCTATTATTCCTTATAAATTTGATGTCCCTAATCTACCAGAAGAAGAACTTGAGAAATTTTAAGAATTTGTTTAATAGATCTCCTTGTCTATAAATGGAAAATTTCTCTCTGGGTAACAAATAATTGCTCAAATATTTGAAAAAAAAAAACCAAAAATTTCTTAATATATTGATTCTATAAAAAAATAAATAAAATAATATCCAAAAGATTGGAAACCTTAAAATTAAAATTTTCTTAAAGTTCAACTTCAACCTGGATCTGCAGAATATCAAAAAATATCAGATTTATTTAGAAAAACTGAAAATGGAACTATTTATGAGATTTACAGAATTTAAAATAAATCTTTATGGGATAATTACATAATAGAAAAAAATAAATTAATTGACATACATAATTAGTAAAATATAATTTTGCAACCTTTGGAAACTGAGAGGTATTTATGGCATGGTGTAAGATCTTAGCATCCTTAAGTTGTCTATTCAGGTTTGAAGGAAGCATTTGATTAAACTTTTAGCAATGTAAATATTAATTTTAGAATAATATTAGATTGGAATGTGGGGAGCTGGTATCTATTTTGCCGAAAACGCTAGCTATTCTAGAAATTATTCTTATTAATTATAACTTAAAGATGATCCTAAAAATATTGGTAAGCTTGTATTTTTATGTTGTTTAATAACAACTGGAAAAGTTGAAGTAAAGCCAGCAGATAATTCTATTAAAAGACCATCCCAAGGATATGATTGTGTTTCAGGTTTCACTCATGGTAGTAATGTTTTTATTCTTTATTCAATGGACATAAGAAGAGCATACCCAGCATATGAAATCGTTTATTAATGATACGATTATTTATATTTTATCATTATTTATCAAAAATTTTTAAATTAAATATAATATAAGAATATATACTTGATTTAATTATAATTTAATCAAACCTTTAGTTATTCTATTTTAGATGGTGAACAATAACAAATCCTTTCTTATGTCCCTTATGCTTAAAGAATATTAATAACACTTTTTAAGTTTACTTAAGTAATCTCAATAATTTTAGTGTCAATAAGGCAAGTTCTAATTAAATTATTTACATATTTACTCAATAGTTTCTGTTACATAAAATTTTGGAAATGAGTTGAGATTTGGTGGAAGATTAATAAAATCTAGAATAACAAGATTAAAGTTACCTTTACTGGGTTCTGATGCACCAGAACAAAGATTCAACTTTAAATTTCCAATATAACCATTCCAAGATTTGTAGAATCGATCTTTACCCATATTCAAAAACATTTAAGATACTTAAAAATGATTTATATTTTCTAATTGAATAGATTCTTTTTTGTTTTAAAATTGAATGTACCCTCCAGCAATTCTTGTTAATCTTTTNATAAATTTGATGTCCCTAATCTACCAGAAGAAGAACTTGAGAAATTTTAAGAATTTGTTTAATAGATCTCCTTGTCTATAAATGGAAAATTTCTCTCTGGGTAACAAATAATTGCTCAAATATTTGAAAAAAAAAAACCAAAAATTTCTTAATATATTGATTCTATAAAAAAATAAATAAAATAATATCCAAAAGATTGGAAACCTTAAAATTAAAATTTTCTTAAAGTTCAACTTCAACCTGGATCTGCAGAATATCAAAAAATATCAGATTTATTTAGAAAAACTGAAAATGGAACTATTTATGAGATTTACAGAATTTAAAATAAATCTTTATGGGATAATTACATAATAGAAAAAAATAAATTAATTGACATACATAATTAGTAAAATATAATTTTGCAACCTTTGGAAACTGAGAGGTATTTATGGCATGGTGTAAGATCTTAGCATCCTTAAGTTGTCTATTCAGGTTTGAAGGAAGCATTTGATTAAACTTTTAGCAATGTAAATATTAATTTTAGAATAATATTAGATTGGAATGTGGGGAGCTGGTATCTATTTTGCCGAAAACGCTAGCTATTCTAGAAATTATTCTTATTAATTATAACTTAAAGATGATCCTAAAAATATTGGTAAGCTTGTATTTTTATGTTGTTTAATAACAACTGGAAAAGTTGAAGTAAAGCCAGCAGATAATTCTATTAAAAGACCATCCCAAGGATATGATTGTGTTTCAGGTTTCACTCATGGTAGTAATGTTTTTATTCTTTATTCAATGGACATAAGAAGAGCATACCCAGCATATGAAATCGTTTATTAATGATACGATTATTTATATTTTATCATTATTTATCAAAAATTTTTAAATTAAATATAATATAAGAATATATACTTGATTTAATTATAATTTAATCAAACCTTTAGTTATTCTATTTTAGATGGTGAACAATAACAAATCCTTTCTTATGTCCCTTATGCTTAAAGAATATTAATAACACTTTTTAAGTTTACTTAAGTAATCTCAATAATTTTAGTGTCAATAAGGCAAGTTCTAATTAAATTATTTACATATTTACTCAATAGTTTCTGTTACATAAAATTTTGGAAATGAGTTGAGATTTGGTGGAAGATTAATAAAATCTAGAATAACAAGATTAAAGTTACCTTTACTGGGTTCTGATGCACCAGAACAAAGATTCAACTTTAAATTTCCAATATAACCATTCCAAGATTTGTAGAATCGATCTTTACCCATATTCAAAAACATTTAAGATACTTAAAAATGATTTATATTTTCTAATTGAATAGATTCTTTTTTGTTTTAAAATTGAATGTACCCTCCAGCAATTCTTGTTAATCTTTTACAGATTAAGAAATAAAAATCTAATGATTTTCTCATAAAATTTAAACTTTTTAGAAATTAACTAAAAAATAATCCTTAATTAATTCAATAAATTATATACACATATATAAATAATAATTATTTTTATATTTTTATTAGATTAAAATAAACATTTTAGTCTTTGTAATCAATAAATTTAGATTTAATTTTCTTTCCTTATATTAGATTCTATATCTTAAACTGAAAGTTATTAAAAACTTACCAATAGATAACTTTTATTAGTTTCAAGGATTAAAATAGTATATAATAATTCTTTTAATGATCATTTTTAATTTTTATAAAGGTTGACTTAAATTTGAAAAGAAAATTAAGTATCAATATTTAAGATTAAAGATGGTCTAAAATAATTATGACGATGTTCATTATTTATTTTGAATAAGAATATAAGAGATTAATATAATTAATCATAAATTTGTTTTGAATTTGCAATTAATTTAATTAAAAATAGTCTTACTTATGTTGCTAATAGGATATATTAGGTGAAGGAGATTGAAACTTGCTAAAAAAATTTATTATCTCTGGAAATAAAATTTAAATAAATATATCATTTGAAGTATGTTTTAAAGTTCTATCACCTAATCTTTAATGATTTTAATTTTTTTGCCCTTTATTAATATGTAAACGGAATGCTAAATGCCAATTATCCATGATAATGGTTTCCCATTTAAACCATCCCTAAATACTATATTGATTTGGGAATTGAATATATGAATTAGATTAAATTTCTGGTTAAATTTCTTTGGTATCATAGAATTCAATATATTCATCGATTATAATTTATTCAAAAAATTAAATACAGAATTGTTATGGTAAAGGGTTACATTCTAATACATACTAATTTAAAATAGATACTGTATCAATAAAAGCATCTTAAGTAATCTTGAAATTAGCTTTAGTAAATTATCCATTTATAGCTGGATAAATTTAATGATCAGAACCTGCAATTATTAATTTTAAATATTAGATCGGTTCATGATATACATTAAATACTACAGATTAAGGATCTTCATTAGATTATTACATAATTGGGAGTATAACTTAATTATTTTATTTTAAGCTTTCTTCAGCTTACTTTAATTTTATAGTGTTATACCCATATTTTTCAATATCTATCTTAGTCAAAAATCCTATTTGACTTAAAGACGTAGTTACAACTAAAAATTATACTAAAAATTTTTACTTAATACTTCCAAAAGTATCAACCATGGAGCTATTCTATTTATCATTTTTATTTAAGAATTAAAACTAATTTTATGCGCAATTTGATCCAAAACGATTTCTAATACAATATATCAAAATTTATTAATATCTTTTTGGTTAACTTATTTAAACAATTTTTTTTATCATTCTTTTAAGGGTTAAACTTTACAAAAAATAACCAATGTTCTACTACTCAAATTTAATTTATTATTAAATTTCAAGATTTTCTTTCTTTAAATCCGTCTTTTTTAATTCAAAGTATTAACCCTCTTTTATTCTATAGATCACTTAAGCAAAATATAATCTTACTTATTAGTATTTAAATTGAATATAATCTTTATTTTAATTCTTCCATTTTTTATAAAATCTTTTAGATTATTTAAGATTAATTCATTTTTATTAATCAGTTGATTGAAATTATTAATATTAGCTAAAAAACATTTTAAATAAAAAAATAAAATTATATTTTGAAATTCTACTGTAAGAATTTAATAAAATAAGTTTTAAATGATTTTATTAATAAGTACAAAAAAACTTTATAAAAAATCTTGACTGATTAAGTGAAATGAAACATTTTTAAAACCTTAAATTAATAATTAAATAAATTTAGATTAATTATAAAATATTATATATATGATAAAGTCGTTTCTTAAGGTAATGATTAAAGAATATTTATAAGATTATAATAAGTTAGTAAAATTGGTTCATGAAAAAATGGATTTATTTAGAGTATCACAATTGATAATAAAAATTTTTGAATAACTAATAGTAAGCTGGTAATCTCCTAAAATAGTTAGTATTATTGGTTGTTTGGATTAAGAAATAGTTTATAAGAGGAAAAGTTTATAAATGAATAGTATATTTATTAATGGAAATAAATAAAGTTCAAAATAAAGCAAAATATAAATCATTTGATTATGGATAGAATGAGAAGTAAAAGAAACNTTTAAAATAGATACTGTATCAATAAAAGCATCTTAAGTAATCTTGAAATTAGCTTTAGTAAATTATCCATTTATAGCTGGATAAATTTAATGATCAGAACCTGCAATTATTAATTTTAAATATTAGATCGGTTCATGATATACATTAAATACTACAGATTAAGGATCTTCATTAGATTATTACATAATTGGGAGTATAACTTAATTATTTTATTTTAAGCTTTCTTCAGCTTACTTTAATTTTATAGTGTTATACCCATATTTTTCAATATCTATCTTAGTCAAAAATCCTATTTGACTTAAAGACGTAGTTACAACTAAAAATTATACTAAAAATTTTTACTTAATACTTCCAAAAGTATCAACCATGGAGCTATTCTATTTATCATTTTTATTTAAGAATTAAAACTAATTTTATGCGCAATTTGATCCAAAACGATTTCTAATACAATATATCAAAATTTATTAATATCTTTTTGGTTAACTTATTTAAACAATTTTTTTTATCATTCTTTTAAGGGTTAAACTTTACAAAAAATAACCAATGTTCTACTACTCAAATTTAATTTATTATTAAATTTCAAGATTTTCTTTCTTTAAATCCGTCTTTTTTAATTCAAAGTATTAACCCTCTTTTATTCTATAGATCACTTAAGCAAAATATAATCTTACTTATTAGTATTTAAATTGAATATAATCTTTATTTTAATTCTTCCATTTTTTATAAAATCTTTTAGATTATTTAAGATTAATTCATTTTTATTAATCAGTTGATTGAAATTATTAATATTAGCTAAAAAACATTTTAAATAAAAAAATAAAATTATATTTTGAAATTCTACTGTAAGAATTTAATAAAATAAGTTTTAAATGATTTTATTAATAAGTACAAAAAAACTTTATAAAAAATCTTGACTGATTAAGTGAAATGAAACATTTTTAAAACCTTAAATTAATAATTAAATAAATTTAGATTAATTATAAAATATTATATATATGATAAAGTCGTTTCTTAAGGTAATGATTAAAGAATATTTATAAGATTATAATAAGTTAGTAAAATTGGTTCATGAAAAAATGGATTTATTTAGAGTATCACAATTGATAATAAAAATTTTTGAATAACTAATAGTAAGCTGGTAATCTCCTAAAATAGTTAGTATTATTGGTTGTTTGGATTAAGAAATAGTTTATAAGAGGAAAAGTTTATAAATGAATAGTATATTTATTAATGGAAATAAATAAAGTTCAAAATAAAGCAAAATATAAATCATTTGATTATGGATAGAATGAGAAGTAAAAGAAACTCTTTCCTGATCCTAGTTTTGAGCCAATATGTAGAGGAATTGGATTTATCAAATGAGAAAGCAAGTAGATGCCTAATGTATTATGTTTAAAACTGCTCAAACGTCTTAAGGTTTAAGTATTGAGTGGAAATTAAATATAAACTTATTAAATAAAAAATAAAGAGTGTAACAGATAAATTATCAATATGCAAAAGTTTAAGGATAAAAGAGAGATAAGGAATAAAAAGATTTAGCTAAATAAATGTTATAAATAGAGGAAGATAAGGCAAAGATATTAAAGGAATATGAGGAAATAAATCAACAAAGATATGGCAAATAAAAGCAGAAATAATGAGCGATACAGATAATCTTGCTACTAATGATCAATATTATTTGAAATGCCTTATAGTAAGTTAGAGTAAGATAAAGTAGATGTTTTAAATAAAGTAGCAAAATATAAAATATGGTTGGATAGAATGTACGAAAGTTGCAAGATTAATTTATAGCAACTCAAGGTCTAACAGATTTAGAAGAACAAATTTTGAAGTATAGATTGTTTATATAAGATTAGATATGCATCAGAGTTTAAAGAGAAAGATTACAGTAGAAGATAAATAAACATTTTAGTGAAACATAGAAGAAGTTAGATGAATTTTGGATGTGGGAAGCTAAAGAGAGAGAACTAAGAGATGATAAAGTGGCTAATCTAATGAGACAAACAAAGAGATTAGAAATGGATGATTATTAAACTATATAATTCTGATCAGATTTAATCAATTGATTGATTTTTTGATTTGGCTGGTTTCATCAGTTACTTCAACAAACATTTTGGTTGCACTCTTTTCCCAATTCAAGAGTATCAATCTTAAGAATAAGACTATAGCACTCACTGATAATCCACATGCCCATCCAAACCATAAACCTTTTAATCCATATTATTCATAATATCCCCAATAAATTCCAGTACCTATTCCAATTGCATATTAACATAATAATTAAACATTTATAGTGAATGCTACTTCTCCTAAAGCACCCAATAAATTAGCTAACATTATTTACATACCACCTATTGTAAGAGTAAGTAAGAATAATTTTAAATTATTAGATAAAATAAGAGATGTCTCATTATCCATATAAAATAAAGCAATCCATTGTTATTTAAAAACCACCAATAAAAAACTTAATAATATACCAGTCATTAAACTTGTTGCTAAATAATGCCATACATGTTTTCTTCCTTTTTCATATTCTTGATCTTTAAATAATCTTCTTATTCTTTATGCAGCTGTCATTGCTACACCCAAATAAAACATATATAATGCTTAAGCTGTGAAAATCAGACAAACACAAACTGAAAATTCTTCATAAGTTAACCACAAAGCTACAAATCCCATTATTTCAAAAGACACATTTTACAAATAGTTTTTGAACGAAGAATGTAATAAACCATATGAAAATTAAAATATTGATTTTAAACTTCTTCTATCCCATTCTATCCATGCTGGATGATTTTTTTAGTATTTGAAAATGTATATATATAGTAATAATGATGAAGTACAACTTGAAAAGTTCTTACACCATGCAGCTCCTCTTATTCCAAGATCTAAATATACTATAAATTATTTAGACAAATATATATGTAAAATCTTTATATATTTATTAATTTTCTTACTGTTGTAAATATTTGTATCACTAACACTGGATAATCTATGCCCATACTTTACAAATAATTCTTTGTACAATCAAAATATGTAAATGCATACAAGGCTGGTAACATCTCCCATACATATTATATAGCTTTCTAAGCTACAATTCTTTTATATTTTTAATATCCTACATTGGAATATTGAATTATGAAAGGATATAGGTTGAACCAGCTATTGCAGGAGTTATTACAATCAAAAACACTCCATTCAATAATAAAGATCTCTAATACGAGATCCCAATTTTCACATAATGATGCAATTTAAACTATCTTGTCATCAACGTTGTTATGCTGGAATTCATACAAAGTAATAAGCCTTTCACCAATAAATTCACATATATAGTTCCAAAACCAATTCCGATTACATCTTCAATAACTATAAATGATTACTGTCTCTCCCTATTATGAAATACATATTCACTAACGTTGTAAGAATACTCAATTCCTATTTTCATAAATCTCCATCTTTACCATTCCAATTACAGTAGGCAATGCCTTTACCAATAATGTTTCAAAACTAGATAAAAATTAAGAAAACGTTGTGATTTCTATATTCTCTTCTATCATCTATAACCAATTATATAATAAATAAGAATATAAATTTTGATATTCCACCTTATTCATTAAAAAATAATCAATTTCATATTCTTATTACATCAATGAGTATTGCTGAATATTGGAGGCAATTAATTGGCTTTTACCTTATCAAAGTCTATCCTTCTCTCTTTCTCTAAATTTATCTCTCCTAAAACTGCAACCGTATCTCCCCTTATCACTTACAATCCTGCATTTAAAAATTTAACACCACTCTCTATTGAATACACTCTCTCTTCACTGTTTTATAAAACACAATTCATTGCTTAATCTATTCCTATTAGAGTCCATTAAATATATCATTAAATTATACCCACAAAACACTCGACCATCTGTTGTTATTGCCTAAACTTTCTTATTAAGCATTATTTCAAATGGATTCACACCTTCTTTATACATATATTTTTAAAAATATATATTATTATATGAAATATGAAAATAATTTATATCATAAAATAAAAGGAATTATGGCTTTTCTTTATTTAGGGTAATTATCAAATTTATTTTTATACCATTTATGAGTTGAAACTGCTCTAGCTGAAAGAATTGATAAAGTTGAAAAGAAAAATAGAAATCCACTCCATTATCCACTAACCAAAAAATATCCGAACCTTTTTTATTATTTTTTATTTTTACCATTCTATTATTTCTCCTAAGTAATGACCGGATGATACTAATTCAAATAAATTGCCATATGGAATCTTGTATTCATTTGAATTTTGTTTCTTTAAACTTCTCAAAATATTATCACATTTGATATTAGAATTCATGCCATAAAGGAATATTAAAATACCGAAAAGAATTCTTAAATAATCAAAAATGTGTAATTAATAATCTAGATTTAAATGAGTTGATATTTATAGATATCCATTGCATGTAGTGAATAACATTGCACTAGAAACAACTTCAATAGGAATGGGTCTGGCAAAGGGAGATAATCTTAAAATCATAGTTAAATTTCTGATTACCTTAAAGGATAGATGATTACTCGATTAAAGTAATGAGCAACAAACAATAAAATTGGTAATTTATTCAAATCAAACCTTATGTCTGAAAGAAAATAGATAAACCAAATCAAATTAGGACATTCATAGAGGATCCATCCTATTCTTGGAGGTAGTGTCAATTTCATATAATGAGAAAGATGCTTGCCATATCCTATTTTAAGAAGATCAGCTGTCCAAGCAGCTAAACTAAATCCTAAAATAATGATTATGGATATCAATTAAAAATCAAACATAATTAAATAATATTATTATTATATTTCCCATAGAATATTTGATTCTAAAAAGCTATTAGTAAATATTATTCATTAGTTTATAAAATTATTTTAATTATTAATCTATTAGAAATAGACTTCATATTATTAATATTAAAGATTATTTCTCTGCAAATTTTTAATTAAACTATTAATAATATATATATATATATATATAATTTTATTAATAAAGTTAATTAACGTTGAAATGCATACTGTTCAATTAATACAACCATATAGATAAGTTTCACCTCAAGCTTTAGAAGCCCTAAAATCTTTAGAGTAATTATAAACAATCTCAAATGCAAAAATAATTAAAAAAATTACTACCGCATCTCCAATCAAATAATTTTTCTTGAACGGGAGATAACTAACAGTCTTTGGAAATAATACTCATACTAAAATAATTTAGTAACCATCCTCATTTCAACCTATTCATCAAATTGATTAAGTATAACCATAACATAATAGAAATATATCATTTGAAATGCAAAACTTTAAATAATAAGTCTAAGATAATATATTGCTCTAAACTGTAATCTCAAAATATGAATCTTCTCCTAAAATGAGTACTCCTATCAAAACTTCTGGAACTTAAACTCCTACAATGTTTACTCGTAATTCATGCGATAATATTAATGTATTAAAGGAATAAAATAAATGCGATTAGAGAGAAAGCCTATCTCCATAAATAAATTTGGTACAAAAAAAAAAATTAATTTTAAATCAAATCTTATAACTTGATAATGAAATCAAATTAATGTAAGATGAAGAAGCTAAAAGAAAATTAGATCCTTTAAGATAAAAAACATCAAATTAAACATCTATAGCACCTATTTCTATTAGAGAATCATTAGAAAAATAAGCAAGTACTAGTACTTTTATGTAAAAATTAAATGAATGGATGAAAAAAAAGAAATCAACTCATATAGATGAAAAAATAGAGGAATAAACTAATTCTATTTAAAATTCTATTATAAGGGATGTATGATTATGCATAATATTTAGTATACTTTTAAAGGAAATTTAACATCTAAAGAACGTAATTATGAATCCTTTTATGATCGCAATATGAAATGGTAAAGAAGAGTAAATGTTAAGAAATAAAAAATGAAAACTTAAAAATCTATGATATAATTGAAAAAAGAATCCAAATCACCAAATTAAAAAGTTTCTAGACCTAATTCATCTGAATTAAATTGTTGGATAAGAGGAAAAGAATTGAAGAGTTCTTAATCTCCTAAAAAAAATAAATAAAAATAGAATAAAATATAGCAATAATTGGCAAAAAAGTTACGTTTTTGAACAATTATTTTTCATTTAAACTTTATTTATATTCTCTGTTAGTTTTGTAATTTTTAATAAATAATTAATTATATTTTTGAATAATTAATACTTCTATATTATCATAGTAATAACATAATTAGATGACACATAAAGATTCATATAAATAGATAAAAGATTTAAAAGCTAAGAGATAAAGATTTATAATTCATAAGACTTTATATTCATTTTGATTTAATATAGTATTTATATATATGTATAAAATAATAAAATTTTTAATTAATGATAGTATTTTGTGCTAATTCATTACCTTAAGTAATTGCAAATTAAGGTCTTCGATAATTTTAGGTAATATTACAAACTTTGAAACCTTAAATTATATTAAATTAATGTGGGGGTGATATTGAAGCAAGATCTTAATATTTAATAAAGCATTTAAGTAAATTTAATGAACCAATTCATTTAATTGGTTATGGGATAGCTGGATTAGATTTAAGATATGCATTAAGTTAAAATAATAATATTAGAGCAAAATCTTTGATTACAATAGGTACACCTCATAGGGGATCAATATTAAGTGATTTGTATAGAAGAAAAAGAATTGAAGATGATGTAATAGAGCCAATTTGCAGAGTATTAGGTGTTAAAAAAAATTACTTTGAAGAAATTAATACTGAAAATATAAGAGATTTTAATTTGGTGACCACAAATAAAGAAAATATAAAGGTAAATAAAATTAGAATACAAAGTATTTTAGTTTGAATGCAGAGACTGAAATTGGTTAAATGTCATAAATATATTAAGCAAGTGGTACTATTATCGAAAGTGAAAAAGAATATCCAGTAGAAAGTGGATCTGATGGAGTATTTGCTCATAATGAAACTAAATGGGGACAACATGTTGCTACATTAGATTGTGATCATGGAGCTATGATTGGAGTACCTAATCCAAGAAATGGTGAATAAACTGTGGATATAATTTAATAATTGATCTAAGATTTATGATCAAATAAAACATATATTATACCGTTTTATTATTATGTTCTGATTATCTGCATCTATTCTTATCATTTAATTAACAAAATTTAATTCATAATTTTTAATTTATTCAATAATATATCTCAAAAAATATTAAAATTTCTTTTCCTTTCGAGATTTACATAATTATATGTTTAGAAAATAAAATAAAATAAAATTCATGTGATATAAGATTTATATTTTACCTAAATAAAAATCACATATAACATTTTTAACTTTTTTATATATATTTCAAAAATTTAAAACTCATATTCAAGTTATAATTTTAAACATTTCATTTAAATTGCATCAAAAAATTTATTTTATTTTATTCTCTAGGATTTTTTATAATAAATTTCAAATAACAAATTCAGAATTACTATATTCTCTAAATGTTTGTTGTAACTATTGATTACTTTATAATTAAAACTAAAATATACTTTTTTTAATTATGTTTCTAGCAAGTTCTTTTTAAACTTCTTCATCTTTTATATAATAAAGCAACTCCCCTTAAAAGAATTTAAAATAATTAATATCCTCATTCTCTTTTTGTAGAACTAAAATAAAAATTTTTGTATATCTTAATCTTATTTTTTAATTTAGCTTGAAAATTCTTAATAAAACTTTATTAAAAAAAGATTTGTCTTCATTTAAAGAAACCTTTAATTTATTTTGATGTATCAAAATAATCGATTTTTTAATATGTATCTAATTCTTAAAAATTTATAAATATTTTAAAATTAATGAAAATTAGTTAAGTATATGAAGTATTTTTTATTTTAAAAAAAAATACAGGTATATCAAAAGGATATTATAATTATCTATTTACATAAATTTAAAAACTAAAAATAACTTCATCATTTATTCAGTTATTTGGATTTTTTAACAATGAAAAATGTTTTATCCTGTAGCTCATTAAGATTTTAATATAATATTTTAAAATTTCATCATATTCAAATTCTAAAAAATTATAATTCCAGTTAAAAGATCTAATGGATGGTGTAGTACAGTAATGGTATTAAAATTATCACTCTATTTAAATAATTTTTTCCATTTTTAATGAAGTGGTTATTTACTTCGTTTTGTTCTTTTGAATTTACTTTAAATAATAACTTTATTTATAAAGAAGATTTGAAAATTTTGATAATTATAAAATTTTATTAATTTATTTAATATTGACAATATAAATACAAATAATCTTAGATTGTAGAGTGTCAATTTAAAATGATATATTTCTAAGAAATATAATATTTTATCATTTAATATTAAAAATATTCATCACTTATTTAGAAATACGTTCTCGTGGATGTTTTGATAGTAATTTAGGGAATGTCCCAATAGATTAAAAAGAGCGTGGCAATTTACTAACACTATTAGATAAAGCATTTGGAGGAATTTAAGGTAATTCAAGTGTAATTGGTGGAACAGATAAGGGTGGCTTTGTAATTTCAATAGTTGGTTTTTTTCCAAATAAAGGATGTTCTTTTAATTTGTTTGGATCATTAGTTTATATAATTAATCCATCTAATTGTTCTTCACTAAGTATAGAGATAGAACCATTTAACTTTTGTAAAATATTTGATGTGATTGAATGATTAACAGTAGTTTTAGGCTAACGAAAACTAAGTAAACTATCATTATTGTAATTTTAAAGTTATTAATCTTCTTAGAAGGTTCTGCTTGTTTTACTTTATTGAATTTATGGTTGAGAGATCGATAATTATAATGTTTTATTTTAAAATGTATTATTAGATTACTAAGAATTAGTAATTGCTTAATATTCTAATTTAGTCATATGTACATTTTAATTTAAAAGAGTACTTTATAATTCATTATTATCTTTAATATCCATTAAAGGGAAAGATCTTTCTTTTTTTTTTTCAGATTTTCCATCATAAAATGATACTCCTTCTTTCATAATAATGACATCAATTTAAGGAACCGAAGTTTTGATTGCAAATTGATTCAATGAATTAGTATAGGCACTTTATCTTTTACCAGCAGAAATTAATTCAGATTACTGTTTATGATTAGGAATAAGGTCTCTTACTTCAACAAGATTTCTTTTTTCTTAAATGTTTTAGTGTGACTTAGGATATCTATCGATATCAGGTGGTTTTTAGACAATTACTTTACCCTCAAAGTCATATGTATATTTAGCTGAGTATAAAAATTGTATTTGTACATTTAGAGTCAACATTCAATCGCTTAAGTTGTCTAGCTTATTCTTGAACCTCTTAGTTTTTAATCTTATCGTTTTACAATTTTTACTATTGTATTTACATCTATCTTAATTTAGCTTGTCTCATGCTTTCAATATTTGGATCAAATTCAATATCATCATCTAACTCACCCATCTTTATTATTTAACATTCATAGGCCTCAGTTTCTCTTTAAGTTTATCCCATTTAGATTTTTGTTAATTTCTTTGTTTCACTTCTTCTTATTGGAGATTATTCTTATGATTTTACTAGTCCTATTTATCCTTAACATCTCCTCCAATGATCAATATTTACACGATTTGGTTCCTCATCTTCATTTATATCATCATATAAATCATCATTATATATATATTGCTTTTTTGCCACTGTTTATACTTAATCTTAAAACCACTGATATCCAATCCAAGGCATTTAAGATTAAATATATTTTTCAGCTACTATATTACTTCCCAAATGAACTACCAATTTGATTGAATCTCTAGCAATTATGTGTGATTCATTGATTATTTACAGCAGTTACTCTGTGAACATTTCCATTAATAATTATTCAATTATAATGTTGAAAAAATAATTATTATTCTTTAATATATGATAAATAAACTATGCCTCCTTTTATATTTTAATGTTTAATTTATTTATTTTTTAATTTTACTTAAATGAATCCAAACCCCAATACCATTGAAATAGGAAATTTTGAATTACAAATACAAAATTTAATAAAAAATTCAATATTATCTCAAAATTATGATATCAATACTTTTGTTTCATTTGCATCGTATATATTTCAATTCATTTCAACATAGCAAAATTCGAAAATAAATTAATAATACGCCTAATTCAAAATAAGTTTGCATAAATATGATATCTTATTTGTAAAAATACTTACTGGAAATATTTGGACCAAAATTTAAAAATCAGCCAGAATTAGATGATTTTTTTACAGCTTTTAAGTAATATGAAAAAGCTGCTCATTATCTTAATCTTGCTTGCTATCATGTCGTATTTAGTACTTCTTTATTTAGTGCTATAATTTAAGTTTAAAAGAAATCTTTTCTTTTTGGAAATTTGCAGTTTGCAAAATAATTAAAGATAATATTGATTATATTAGATAGAATATTTTTAAAAATTTGGAAAATCTTCTAGATGAATTTTATAAGTTATAAGAGTCAGAATTTGTTCATATACAATAATAAAAGGAATTAGTAAATGTGAAAGAAAACAGAGAAAATCTTTTAAATAAATTTTAGAGTTACATAGAAATTCTATTAAGCCTATCTTTGAATGAAATTTTAATATAAAGAAAGATAAATATTCTAGAGGATTTTTGTTAGTCATTATATAGATTTATTTAGATAGAATATGAATAGAAGAATAAAAGATGGTTTTAAATTTATACAGTTTAAGAATATTTATTATTGGTTGAAAGAGAGTTTTAAATAAATTAGGAATTGTTTATATGTTTGAATAGTAATACAAAATTTCAAAGTCACTATTAAAAAATTTTGAGAATTATTTATGAGAATTTGTTATTTAAATATAGAAATGTCATTTTAAAGGATGAAAGAGGTTTTGTAGGTTTACTAAACTAATTTTTTACACAAGAAATTTCATAAAAAGAAATTCTAAGTTAATAAATTGTCTAAATTTTGAGAGTATATTCAAGATTTTAAGATCAAGAGAGATATTTCATAGATTTTAAATAAAAGTTTCAAGAATTTGTAAGAAAAAATATAGAAGAACAATATAAAAAGGCAACCTTGCATCATGAATTAGAAAAATAGAAATCAAAATATAAATCTTTAGTAAAAATTTTGTGTGATATTTATAATAAATTTGAATATCTTATAAAATTGTGTTTTAGGGAAAGTAAAAATAACAATAGTAGGTATGATCTTGAACTGATAGTTAAATCAGAACTTAATAAATTTTTTATTAATTTAGAATAAGTAAGAAAGTAAATATTATAAAGAGTATTTATTTGACTTTAAAATTATGTAATTATGTACATGATCTTATGATGTAAATGGCAAAATCAGATGATTAATTTTAGATAAAAGATAATTATGATGAGATTTTAAAAGTATAAAAATATTTATTACCTTTTGTAAAAGATTTTGATTATTATTTAATTGTAAGATTTTAAACAAATTAAATTAGATTTATAGTTATAGATTAGCCTCAAGATTACTTAATTATCTTATATTTTTTGAAATGTAAGCTGCATAATTTCATTTAGAAAATGAAATTAATATACTTGATTAATTGAAATAATTTTGTGGTGAGAAAAAATTAAAAAAATTTAGCCAAATGATTTCTGAAACTAAAGATCTTTTGTTATAAAAATCCATAATGGTATATTAAGAATATTCTTCAGAAATTATTTTAATTAATAAAAAAAAATGGCCAGTGCTCCATGAAAACGATCAATATGTGTTTAAACAATTGTATATTAAAAAAGATTAATATTAAAAACAATTTTAAATCAGAAATTAAGAACTTTAAATCACAGTTGCATTTAGTGATACAGTATCTTTTGTTGAAATATATTGGAATGAAGTAGACAAAACTCTCATTATTAATTGTGTTTAGGCTGCAATTTTATTCTTATATGATTAAAATGATGATTCGAAGACTTTAAATGAAATTACTGAAGAACTAAAGTTAGAAAAAGGTTAGGTATTATTTTAACTGGAAAGAATGGTAATAATTAATATAGGTTTAGGTTTAATAAAAAATATTATGGAATGATGGAGATAGTTATTTTTTGAATGATTCATAAATATAACAAGAAGTTAAAGAAAATTTGATCGTAATGGATCACAACATTTATGAGAACTCTAATTAAATAAATTAAAGTAAATATTAAATAAAATCTAAGTCAAAACGTTTTAAGATAATACTTAAGATCTCAAATATTAATTAGAGGCATTTATAATAAAAAATATGAAAGTAGAAAAAAATATGAATCATACTAATTTGCTTGAAATTGTTTAAAAACATTTTTATCCTACTCCAGTAAATAATGAAAAACTCAAGGAATCTTTAGATTTCTTAATTAAATATAATTATATAAGAAGAGATGAAAAAGAGAAATCAATTTATCATTATGAGTGACTGTTCGTTTTTTATTTATAAAATTAAAATTAAATATTTTATCCTTAATTTATAGTTATCTAATCATTCAATCTTTAATAAATAAATCATTTATATAAGATTTGATAAAACTTCTTATATTATTATTATGAATAATAGTAAATTTTCAGAGTATCAATTAAAAATGAATTTAAATCTAGAAAATAAAATAAACAAAATCAGTTTTAAAATTATTCTATATCATTTTTTTCAGTAAATAAATAAACATTTAATTCATCATCAATTATAATTAATATGAATCAATTCACTTTGAATGTTTTTTTATTAAAATTCAAATTCACATGATCTACACTAATATATATACTTAATTAAAAATAAAAAAGAGATGATTCTCTCTGGAAAATTTTAATTATTTATAAGTTATTGTATGATTCTATAACAATTCGATGAATTTTGTTTTTGTTTATCAAAGTATTTTACATGAATTATATGTATAATAGGGAAGACTATAAAATTCAGTGGAAACACAATATCGGTGGATGTTATTCTTTTAGATTTTAAATTATTTTATGATTAACTCAATTATAAGTCAATATTAAAATAATAAAGTTAAAAAAGTATATGCTTTCTACATAATTTTCTCTTTTTGATTAAGTTGATGAAGTTTGTACAAATATATTAGAGAATAATAGTCTAGTAACTTTGAAAAAAAAACAAGAGATTAATAGGTACTTATTGTATAATGATATATAGCAAAATTGATGTTTATATTTAAAATCACTCTAATGATTAGTAATAGAACGAAGCTAAAAAGTTTATAAAAGTAGCAATAAAATGCATAAAAAATCATATAGCGAAAAATGTAAACAAAAATAAATAAATTGAAGATTCTTCCAAAATTCAAAGATTAATATAAGGATCCAATATTAAATATTGAAACATTTCTTAGTATACATCATACATTTGTTAAGTCGATGAAATCATACAAAACTATTTTATATTAAGCGGTAATTAAAATGGCAAATATTTTATAGGCGCAAACATTTTAATAAGAAAGTATTCCAGATTTTTATACAAGTTTATTTGATAACATATTTGTTGAAGAATTATAAAGTGTGTTTAAAAATGTTTTATTTAAAAGTGTGGTTGATATTATCAAAACTGTAATTTTAAGTTAAATATAATTTTAGGCTTGTGAAGATGAATAGAAATAATAAAAAATTAGTGAATTATTATATTAATTTGGAAATGTAATGACTTAATTATAAAAATCTACTGAAGAAGCTATAGAATTTAAAATAGAGAAAGAATTTAAATAAAAAATTTTTGATTATTTTGAAGAGAAATATCAATAAAATTATAATTCTTGGCATCTAAGTTTAAAAACGTAAGTATATTTGAGAAAAGTTTATTAATAAAAAGAAATAAATGATAGGGTTTTAAAGTTTGGTGATAAAACAATTTTAGAATAAGTAAATAGAATTTTAAATTCTCATCTTTTAACATATTATAAATCATATTTATTATCAGAGAGTAATGCTGATAATTTTGAACATCTATTGAAAGAATTTCATTAAGAACCTAACAGTTACTAATAAAATTTAAAATTGATTGGAGATTTATATGGAAGTTTAGATGATCATTATGATTAAATTGCTGCAAATTTTAAAAATATTATAACATTAGAAGGATAAACAATAATGTAAAAAAAGAATCATTAAATAGTGGAAACTAATTCAGATTAAAATTTTTCTGATCCAAATTTTATTGGATAATTTTATAGTCTTTATTAGAAATATTTTCTATTGATAGAAAGTTGTTTCGCATAAAAATCTGATTTTATAATGGCTTTGAATAATTCATTTGAAACATTTATCAATTTACCTATTGGAGTATTTATATATAAATATATTTTTAAAAGAATCATGAATTTGCTGATTATCTTGTGACTTATATAGGAGAATAGATAGAGTTATTAAGAAATTAACCAAAGAATTTTTCTATAAAATCACCAGAATAGATAGTAAAACTATTTGTATTTATAAATTAAAAAGGGAGATTCTTAAAAGTATTAAAAATAGTTAAACATAAATATAGTTATATAAAATATCTTTAGCATAAAGATTAATAAAATATTAGAGATAAGTAGAAACTAAGAAAAATAAATTAGCTTGTTAAATTGAAATGAGTATAGTAGAAGAGATGGAAAAGAAATGTGGAGCATAAGATTTGGAATCACTCAAAATTATGATTAGAGACTTTTAAAAGACAGAAAATGAAGTAACAAAAATATAAGAAGAAAAAGGATTATGTAAATTATAAATTTAGCCACCAATTATAATTAACAAGTAACATTGGCCAGAAATAGATGAATTATAACTAAATCTTCAATCTGATTTAATAACTTAACAAAAAGAAATTATAGCAAAAAGATAATAATAAAAAACATTGATATGGTTAGATCTAATTTCTTATGTTGAAATATAATGCACAGAAAAAGCATTGACATTCAACTTAAGTGTCCCATAAGCAGTTATATTATTACTTTATCAATACAGAAATGATATTTTAGATGTTAATAGAATCGCTTCTTTAACTGGATTAAAAGAATAATATGTTATATAAAATTGTAAAATGATGAAAGATGCCAAAATATTAGATGAATAAATTTTGAATGATTAAGTTTGTTATTAATTTAATGAGAATTTAACTAAATAAAAAAAAGGAAAATCTAAAAAAATAGTAACTGAAACTTATTTCCCTTAAAATTAAGTAGAATAAGGTAAAATCTAATAATTATATTTAAGTTGTGTCTGTTTATGATAAAGATTTAGCTATAGAAGCAGCTATTGTTAAAATTATGAAAAAACAAAAAGAAATGTAATTTAGTGATTTGGTAATTTAAGTCTAAGGACACATGAAGAAAAATTAAAATGTTGAAATACCATTTGCATAAATTAAATAAATGATAGAAAGATTGCAAAGAAATGAATACTTAGAAAGAGATGCCATTAATATGTAATTGATAAAATATAAATGACTTAATTAATCAAAAAATTTATTCAATATTTACAATACAAAATTAATTAAATAAAAATTTAATTCATTTTTTATTTCTTAATTACCTATCTCTTCTTTATTAGTTTTCTAAATATTCCTATAAATTAATAATATTTTAATACTTTATTTTTCATTGTTAATTCAAAATCATTTAATTGCCAAGCAACTAAATCTAGTCTATTTTATGAATCAGAAGCAAGTGGATATTATTCAGGATAAACTTCATAAGGAAAATCTGTCATAATATTAAAAACGTTTCTTTCGTCAACATTAAAGTTTTTACCTTCAGATTACCAACTTATTTTATTAAAAATTATAAATACTATCCATCTATTTTACTTAAAGCAGGATATTTTTAAGTAGATCCATTTAAACCTTAATATTTTTTATATCCTAATTTTTTCCATCTGGCTACCTCTTTTTCGTCAATTTTAAAAATTGAACCTTAAAAATAATCTAAAGCCATTTTTTTTCCAAACAATCCAGATGGTGGATTAAAGTACAATTCTCCTAAATATTCATTAACATAATCAATACAATAAATAGGACCTTCTAAATAAAAAATCCTATCTCCAATTGTTATTCCAGTTAAATATCCTTTACAATTATTAAATTCCAATTTTGAACCATTAACAAATTCCAAATTAACTTTACCAAAATTACTACCAGTAATAGAATTTAAACCTAAAGAAGCTTAAGTTTCAAAATGTCCATTAAATTTATATCCATGCCCATACATCATAAATGCTGCAATAGGTGGATGATGACTAATCTATTCAAAGTAAATAGGACAACCTTTAATCCAACATTGAAAGGTTTCACCAAGGATTGGATTAAAAGGTTTCTCTAATGATAGATATAATATATTCATAGATACAATGAAGCCTAATAAGGCTTTCATTTAATCAAGTGGAGTACTATTAACTACAGGTTCTAAGAAATGAGGAGCATAAGAAAAAGAACTGGCTAATCTTTATAGATTAGTTCTCCTCTCAAATATATGAACAGGAACACATATATGTAGTATACTTGTTCTTAATAGACTTTACCCAATTTTCTGTAAGATGTAATAAAAAACCTTCTTCTATTGAGCAAGTTTATCTTAATTTATAAATTTCAAGAAACCTTTTTAAGCATCATATATCCAATCTGATTAATAAAAAAAATGTTATCCATTATTATTCTTTTCATATCTTTCTAATTAAATATTCATCTATGGTTTTGTTTAATAGTAATGAATTTATGAAAGATGATGTACCTCTTATTCAATATCCAACAATCTATCACATAAAAACTATTATAAGGACTCCTTTGTATATTTAGAGATTAGATAAAATTAATTTATATTCTCATTTTTGAGATATATTCCTCTTCTTTATTAATCTGAACGTATATCTTCTTTAAGAAAAGAATCTCTTTATTGATTATCTTCATCTAAGGAAAAACTATCATTAATTTGGCTTGCTTAAAAAGATAAATTTGGAGATACAGTTAAATCTTAATATGCTGATCGAGTAACTTAAGACTTAAATGTTTTTTTGGTTGATTTATTTTTAAGTTATTCATAACGGTTTATTAAAGTCATAGCTTCACTTACAAATATTGGAAAATTGACATTACTTATTTACTATCTTCTGTTTTCCTCTTTTAAAAAATGTTTATAATTTTGAAATTATTAAACATAATTTAAAATAAGTTGTTAATCTTAATTTTAAGTTATATACCCTTTGTTATAGACAAGTGTGTCTACAATCATAATTTTACTTTATAGATCTTAGAGAAAAATTCCAATAATATTCCATTCAATATATCCAGAATTATCATCACTCTCATAAGATTTCTCAATAATAAAGAAAGAGTCTTTATATGGATATATATATCTTAAGAATTTGAAAGATCTTGGTTAATAAAGAAAACTTAAAGGTTCTCTAATCTCTTCAATTTAAGCAAGGAAAGGAGTTGCTTAGAGTATGATTTATTAAGATTTAATTTATTTATTCCATTTTTTAAGTGAGGATGTATCATAAAGAGAATTAATGAGTATTTCAAGAGAAGTTCTTGGTAAAGATACATAAACTCTAAAATTATTTTTATTAATATTTGATTGCATGATTCTGGCACAGTGTTCAAATGAAATTAAAGTAAATTCATGATCATCCATTAAAAAATCTAGATTAAGTTTATCTTTAAGATTTTCAAAGATATTAGGTAAATTTTCTTGAAAAATTTATTCTTCAATGATAATAGTTTCTGGTTTTATATATTATTATTATTATTAAGGTTTTAATGTAGTTATTTATTTAGTAATTTTGGTATCATCAGCTTATTTTTTTTTGATAATAGCAGTACCATATCTGTCACGAGAATCTTAAGAATTAATTTCACTTTATAATTCATTTTTCATTAAAATTGTTTTAGATCGTTCCACATTTTCTTATTTGCAACAAATTAAGAAATATTCAACCCATTTAGTAATTTCTTCCTTATCTTCACTTCCAATAATGATATCTTTAATTTATGCGTTAGGATCTCTACATAATAATTCATATTGATATCTGCCTCTTAGATAGCCTCTTTAATTAATAAGAAATTCTGTTAAATCTATTATATAGGGTTTTTCCTTTGAATTTTATCGATAAATTATTAATTCCTTAATGTCTAAATCAATTTCAATTTTTTTCCTTGACCATAAAATGGTACTTTTACCCAAGATATCTATTTCCCCAACTACTTTTTTTTATTTGAAGAATAAATTGAACAGACTTATAAGCAATTCTATTTTTGATTCCTTATTCAACTTAGACAATTAATTTAATTCATCATAAGTTAATTAATCATAATCTAATGAATTAATTTCCAAGGTTGGATCAAGAAGTGAATTCTATAGTAGTTCCATTTTTTATAGAAATTTGATTGGAATTATTCTATTAGTTGTTGGCTCTGCACATAAAGTAAAATGATACTTTGTAGAATTCTAGTAATTCGATTGAACATAGGTTGTAATTTCTCCATTTCATCGGAATTCATTAATTACAAATAAATATTATTTTGTAAAAATAAATCATATTATTACATACTATTTAATCTTATAAACTGGTTTAGATTTGTTTAAAGGTCATTCATTATTATATTTTTTGATGAATTGTGTTTAAATAAACAACAGCTAAGAATGGCATGAACACGTCATGAGTAATTAAAAGCCAGTTGTTGTTAGTTTTTTTGCTGAATGGTATGAAAATTATAATGAATCAAATATAGGTGTGCTCCATGTCATAAGTTGAATCCTTAATTAATTTAAGAAGCTGAGAAGAACTTAGAAAAATGGTAACTTTGCTTGGTTAATGTTGATAATGAGGAACTCTATGATGTCGTATAATAAATAGCGGTATTGCTTAATATTTATTTAATTTAGAAGGCTTAAATTCCATCTGTTCATTTACTAAATAGAGGAACTTCTATTGACTCTATGACTGGATATAGTGAAAGAAAAACTAAATCTTTTATAGATAAGGTTTGCAGTTGATTTTAATTACTTGTTTAAACATGTCTTTTATAAAATTATTAATCAATTAGAAAGACGCATTTGACCATTTAATTATCACAATAAAACCTTTTCTTTTAGGTAACGTGAAACTGATTTTATTTATTCTAAATTTTTTGTCTTATGCTAATTAATTTCTTACATACCCTCTTTATTTCTCTAAAATTCTTTCTCTATCAGATTCCTATAAAGCTTCTTTTATACTCAAACCATTTTCTAAACAAAAAGATTATACAGATGTTTGAACATATAATATTCACTATTCTTCTTACTCATTTGAATTATAGTGTCAAAAATTTATTCATATTTTTCTCTATTTTCAGACTCTTCCATTTTATCAATAGTAAAAATAAATGGACTATTTTTTATACTTATATGGAATTATTGTAAACTATTTCATTATTAAATGTCTCTCAAATAATAAGGGCACCCTTATTAGATATCAAACAAATGATAATTTATAATCAACTTTCTATCATTATTAATACTACTCCTTTTAATAATACTATTTTTATTGAGATTCCATTATCAGTTTAAGGATTTACAAATATTAAATAAATTTAATTATCTTTTATATGTAATTCATATTATTTATTATTTATAAGTTTATATGTTTAATAACAAAAGACAATTTCTTATGTTTTTTATTAGTACACATATACTAATTACCTTTTAAATTAAATAATCCCTGAACAAATTTTTTTAAATATTCTAAAATTCTTATTATAATTATTTCTGTTGTTTTAATTATTATATAAATAAAATGAAAATTATTATAAAAAAAGCCCAACTTGAGAAGGTATAAGAAAAGATTCTCAATTCCTTAGTCTTTTAAAAAAAAGTAAAAATTTATTGATATCGCAGTAATTTATATATTTATAAAACTTTAGTTTGAATTGTCTTCTTTTTTTATTATTGGCTAATCCTCATCATTGAATAATCTTTTCTTAAATAATTACATTATTATAATATGAATTTTCTAATCAGTTAAACAACCAAAAAAATGAATTATCAATTATCTCTTATAAAATAAGAGATTACACTTTGAAATTTAAATCTAATACTCTCTTTGTCTTTAGTTATAATCTTAAAACAGCATCTTCTTAATAATTGTTGAAATTAGTTATTATAATATTCTGGTTCAAAATAATAATGAATCAAATATTGTTTCATAATTAATTCCTTTATGAATCCTTTGACTCTTAAGTTTCATGATCGGAAGCTTGAATAGAAATATTAAGAAAATTATTCGAATGAGCTCTATGATGCCTTCAAATATACTATGGTTTTGCTATCATTATCAAATGTTATTTTAAGCATCTTTTGGATTTAAAGAAATGAATTTACTCTTGGATGCTTGATGATTATTGTATGTTGTGGATAAACAATCACTTTCTATTACATTCTTATTAAAAAAAAGTTCATAACTTTAGTAGGCTATTTAATATCAATCCTTAGTTTATTATCATCATTTTATCAATTCCTACCATACTTTTACAAAGAATATTATGACACTGAATTTATTTGGATTTTTGATATATCCTAATTTATGGCACTCAATTTTGCATTAAGCCCTAATTTTATACTAAATCAATTTCTTTAGATTCTATTTGTTTCTTCTAGATTATTTATGAGGAACTCTGCTTAATTAAATCCATTTTCGTTTATCCTCTTATTATATTTGATATTGTTTTGGTAAAAAGAGTATTTTAGATAAAAACACAATAGAACTTAATTTTTTTTAAAAGAACAGTAAAAATAAGCTTTATTTTTATGGGATAATTTGATTGAAGAAAAAATTGTGTTATTATCATATGATGAAATTTGGAATAAGATTGATCTTGTCTTTGCAAATTCCTCTATAAAATAAGTTATTGAAATTGATTCTAAAGATTTCTTAAAAGGTTTTAGAATTTCTAATTTAAAAATTGATTTATATCAATATTTATTAGAACAGATCCATCATAAAAACTATCAATTTTAGATTAAAGTAGTACATAGCTCAAAGAAATATGTAATTGATTGTATAATGAATAAATTGATGGAATTAAATATTTCATTAAAATTTACCGAGCTTTAATCACAAAAAGATTATTAAAATAATTATTCATATCTCAAGCTTTTAAAAAAAATAAAATTCATTGATAAATAGCTTTATTATAATGAAATCTAAAAGTAAATCATTCAATAATCTTATTACTTTAAAAATGTAACAATAAATTAAGTTGAATAATTAAGTCTTTTTAAGATACGTTCTTTTATGAATTTTATAATGAAAAGGAATTCTGCAAAAATTTTATTTGATCTGTAACAGTTTAACACAAATTTGCCACTTTTTTTTAGTTTATTAAGTTGCCTATCAAAATTATACAAAATTCAGGAAATATAATTAGTAGAGCAAAGCTAAAATTTAACTAGTTTGATTATATATGGATTCACATATAAAATTCCAGAATAGAGATTTGCAATTTGCAAAAAAATTATTAATCATATTGTAGATTAGATAGGCATATATGAATGTTTGTTTTACAAAAGTTAATTTTTATGCACTTTAGTAAACATGCAATATAAAATTGAATCGATTGCTTAGTAAAATAATAAATATATATAATAGCTCTCTTGAATGATTTTAGCCAGAATCAGATTCTTGATAAATATGTTTTATTTTATCTTTTTATTAATATTTAATAATCCTGTTTCCAATCCTAAACTTTGCATAACTTCAATTCTCAAATTTTCATTTTAATTGATCGTAAAATTGTTTTGTGAATGAATTTGTTCATAGATAAAAGATGCTTTAAGAATAGTACCATAAAAATTAATATTCAGAAGAGTATATGGAGTAAGTAATTATATTAAGAACAGTAGATATAATTGATTTTCTCAAATAAGATAATAGAAAGAATTAAGGATTCCAATATTGAGATCATTATGAATTCTTTTATAAAGAGATGTTTAATACTTTTGAATGGATGTTTTAGAGCAAGCCAAGAGTGATCAAGATACAGTTGATAATTGAAAGAAAATACATTCAGAAACTATTAAACTATTACAAGCTAATCCAAAATTAAATGCAACCATGGCAAAGAATATTTGAGATTCAGTTTAAACTTGAATAAGTTTTATTTGCTGACAATTTTATTTATTTAGTGATTTTGATAGTTTAATCTATATTTTCAAGGAATTCAGGTACTGAAATAATAATTTTAATTTTATCATTAGGAGTAATGTTTTAATTCCTTCAAGTTTTACAAATCTTGATATTCTTCTGCTACTTTTTTAGACAAAATTGTATTTCTTTAGATGTATTATACGATCAGCTACAAATATCAATAATTCTTAATCTCCTATATTATTTTATTATATATATATTATTGTCTTATTTCATTAACTCTATCTGCAATAAAATTGAAAGATTCACAATTTGGTAGATATACACTATCTTTTTGTACTAAATCTTTATATCATAAACTAACAGATAAGAAAGGTCTTAAAACATGATATAATCCATCTTATGTATGTGGAAATGTAAATTTATATAATTACTCTATAATACATATTCATTATTTAATTTAATGGAATTCTAGTAAATTAATGATCTATCCATATTATTGTTCATCGCGACGTGTTAAGCCATATTAAAAGTAGGTGAAAATACATGGTAATAACTTATAAAATTTATTCAAATATTGAAAAAAAGGTTTATTTTGATATTCACGATAATCAATTCAATTCTTTCCAATCCCTTATGTCAAATTTAAGGTTCTTCTATTCAAAAAAAATCAAAATTCAGTATTTATTTAGTGTTCTTTTTTTTGTTGTTTTTGTTTATATTACACTAGCTTTGCTGAAAAAAATATTTTAGCATATTTCATTTTTAAAATTAATCAATCATTTCAATCATTTCTATATAATTTTAAAAATCATAAGCTTTGAATTTGTTTTTAACTTATTCAAACTTATTTAACCAATCCATCACTTACAAAATATCCTAAGATTTCTAATATTTACTTAGTCTCTTTACTTTTTCATATTCTAAAAATAATAATACTTAAAAAAAAACGAATACTCGTAATTCTTTAGAAATTCATTTTGGATCCCTAGAATAAAAATCCTTTGAATGTACTTCATTAAATAGATTAGAATCTTAATGATAACATTTCTCATTATGTAATTCAAATATCTATATATATGTACATCATAAAAAATTCATAAATCTGTCAATGACTTTAGTTAAGTTCTTGACTTTTAAAATAATTATTATTCCATTGTTGTATCAGGTTTACCAAGTGTAGGTTGCAATTTTCAAATATAGAGCTGCTCTGAATCCAATTAATCAATTAAGAAATATGATTAAAAGTAAGGCAAAATCACATCTTTGAATTTTTCAGGGGTTGCGGAGGTCAATTGTAACTATTCCATTCATATTATACCATTTTGTATAGTCTACAATTTTTATAATAATTACGTTTTATCTACTCTTTTTTGAATAACTCATCCAATAAAATAGAAGAGTCTTAAAAATTCTAGAACTTTAATCTTCTACTCATACTGTATATATTCTAACTATCCATACAACATTTTATGTATGCCCATTTAGAACTTAACTCTTGAATCCTTAAGAAGTAGGTTAACTTCGTCAGTATTCAATTTTATGAACTTCTTAGTGGAAACATTCGAAAATTCTTTCAAAACTAATACATCAAACCAAGCCGGTTAGCTTTAGTTCTAGTATTGTTTGAAGAGAAATTCTTATATATAGATATTAATAATACTAAAACGATATTTTAATCGGATTTCAATGAATTGAAAATATGTATTATATCTCATAATTTGTCATTATATTTGTTAATATGCATAAATTCAATTATTTATAACTTTTAAAATCATTCTATTTTTATCAATACTTTAAATTTCATGAACTTTCTTAACTTAATTTTTAATATATCATAAAATAATAATCATTTCAAAAAACATAAATATATTTAATATTATTTTCAACCATTTTTCATCTTATAGTTGAATCAAATTATTAATATATATTAAGAATTTCTTAGAATTATAATAATAATTTTTCCAATTAATATTAAGATTAAGTTAATTAAATAATTAATATTTCATATATAAAATAACTAATCATCTTAGTTAGAGATTGAGGCATTTTAGACTTTTCGTTAAACAACATGACATAACTTTTCATATTCAGCCCTTAATTTAACATTATTTTCTTCTTAATTACTCATGAGTCTTTCTTATTCTAAGGTTCTCTAATGCTATAATTACAAATTAGTCTTATGTAAAGCATATTGTCTTTCTTATATTAACCTCCTTTATTAGATATCATCTATTCCTCTATCTAAAAATATAATAATAATTAATTACCTTTTTAAATATTTAAGATGAAAAATGTTTCATCTATTTTTTTATTAGATTGTCAATATGATGATCCAAAACATTATTATTATTAATCATTTTTTCTTATTTAATACTTCTTTTGCTAATTTGTAAATGTGTTTAATGAACCTTTTCCCTTTCTTATTGTATTTATTCCTCAATTAATTATCTATCTTTAGATTAGTTTCTAATTTTTACATGTCATCTTTAATAGCTTAACTTTCATTTTCAGCTCTCTTAATTATTGATTTAGGAATACAGATAAAATATTGAATTGCAAAAATTACTCATAAATTTATAAATTAATTGTAATAAAAAGAATAAATTTAAATAAATAAAAGTGTGAACCTTCAAAGTTTGTTAAGCTTTCATTTCCTTTTTCTTTAATAATTCAATTTAATGATTATATCTAGCTTTTTCTTCAATAAGTAATCTACCTTCTACAGCTTTAACATTTTTATCATGATCTAATCTCATTTTTAAAAAAGAATTCTTTCATTCTTAAAAGTTGCTAATTGTATTAATCATTAATTTTCATCAAAGAATTGAATTTAGTTTAAATACCATCTAATTTAGGTTACCAATAACCATTAATTTAATCAATTTATAACTATTTAAGATAATACATGCATGTATTCATTTTCTAATGCTAAAATATGTTTATTTTAGCAACATATTCATTCGTTAATTCTTATTATCTATAATCACTAGCTTTACCAAGTTCATCAAATTATCTTTTAACTTTAGTGTATTCTGCTTCAATGATAGATGTCTTTTTGCCATACCAACATCTTATTCTTTACTTAATATTTCTTATCTTAATGAATTAATTCTATTTGTAAGTTCTTCATTCATTAATCTATTTTGTCTTAATTCTTGTTCTATTTATTCTTTTAATTAAGCAACTCTAATGACATCATTTTTTTTAATTGATCTATCAGGTATATTTGTTATTGTTGCTGCTGTTTTTGTTATTGTTTTATAGGTTGATAAATATTTCTTTATGATTCTTTAATTCCAATTTAATTCTTAGCCATTAAATCAGATGATCTATTTCATTCTATTCGTTCTCTTATTTATGTTGCTAATTCTTCTGGTATCTTATTACAAGATATATCCAAGAATTTCAAATTTCTGTTAACATTTAATCCTTCTAATAAATATTAGGCTCCTTTCTCTCCAATTTCATTCCATTTCAAATTCAATGATTATAATTTTGTATTTTATTTTAACATCTAAAAAATTCTCGTATAATGATCTGCTTATATTCTATTATTTTTAAGATCAACTAATTATAATTGATATAATGGATTCATTAATAAATCACATAATGCACTTACAACTCCACCTATAGCATTCCATTATGCAATCAAAGTTTTTGCATCTGGAATAATTGATCGACATATTCTTTCAAATCCTTTTCCATTTATATTAGATCCTCTCAATTCTATGTTAATAAATTGCATATTTTAAGCTAATTATTATGCAACAGTAACACAGTCTCCTTATTTGAATATCTAATCAGATAGTATAAGATTTGGAGCTTTCTATGTTTCTAAAGCTTCATGGATTCAAATTTAAAATTAATTGTTAAATAAGGAATTATTGAGTGTTAATCTTTAAATAATATAATTATTTATATAATAATTTGATATCATTAATTATTATATAATTTTTAGAAAATCATATAATTAGTAATAATAATTTTTATAATAATTTGTAAAGTATCTTTTAAGATAAACACATTTTAGATGATAGCCATTTAAATAATGTGAATATAATATCAAAGTTGAGCAGTATTCTTGTAAAAGTTTTACATAATTTCTTCGGTTTTCGAAAAGTTTTAGTTCCAAGCATTTAGTATTTGAGAATCGACAACCTTAGGACTATCACAAACAGAAATAATTTAAGTATTTGTAATATCTTTAGCCAATTAATCCATTGTATATGCTAAGAGAATGTCTTTGACTGAAACACCAGAACAATCATTTGTGGATATCTCAACATTGACAACATTTTCTTTTTGTGTCCATTTAGGATAGTCTATTAAATAGTTAGAATATATAAATTACGATTCATTTCATCAGCAACTGCAGAAATTGATCCCATGAATGCAAATGTCTCTTTGAATGTATTAAACTTAAATTCTCTTTGAATTCTTGTAGAATCTTTAGATTGATTCCATTATAAGGAATGAATTTCAAGGGCTTATGCAATTTCTTCTGAATTCAATTTAGTTATTGAAATAGATGAGACATCTTTGAAATCTCTAACAAATATTTTTAGAGAATTTATAATTGCTGGTGTTTTGAATCCTTATTCTGAGATGTATCTGTACATGTTTATATTGTATTTAAATTATTACAATTATTCGAAAATCTTAAAGGAGTTATCAAAGGTTTATTAATGCGAACCAAATAATTTCAAACGCAATATAATGATCAGTTATTAATTTTTTAAATATTTAAGGATTATATCAATTACCCATGGGATTTGGAATCTTATTTGGATCAAAATTTTATGGCAATGTCTAATTAGGATAATTGAGATTTTAAGGTAAAGTTTAACCAGGATAGAATGCAGGGGGTTATTATTAAGAAGGTGGAACATAATTTGGTTAAGGAGGAAGTTATTAACCAGGAGGAACATTAGGATAAGGCTGTTAATTCATTCCAGGTTAATTCGGATAAGCTTGATTTTATGGTAATGTTTATGCTTATTGATTTGGTGGCATTTAATTATTTGGATAACCTTATTATGGTTAATTATTAGGGTAATTCTAAGGTTGACTGCCATAATAATTAGTAGCTTATTAATTATTAGGATAAGGTTATTAATTTAAATTCATTGTATTTGCATAATTAGGATTTTAAGCTTAATTTGGATAACCTTGAGGATTAGTATTTTAGATAGTTTAAGCATAATTTGGTATTCCTTGTTAATTTTATGGTGCTTAATAAGGAGATGGTTAATTAGGAGGTGGTTAATTAGGAGGTGGTTAATTTGGAGGATATGGTTAATTAGGAGGTGGTTGGTTAGGAGGATAATTTGGTGGTGGTTAAGTTGGAGGATAATTTGAAGGTGGATAAGTTGGAGGATAATTTGGAGGTGGTTGGTTAGGAGGATAATTTGGTGGTGGTTAATTAGGAGGATAATTTGGTGGTGGCTGATTAGGAGGATAATTTGGTGGTGGATATCCTTATTGAGGATTTGCTTAATAGCCTGGCTATTAATTAGGAGGATATGGAGATGCATAACCTTATTGAGGATTCTATGGATATCCTAAGGTTCCTTAAAATCCTAATCCTGTTTATCCATAAGATGGTGATTATGGATATTATGGTTATTATGGTGGATAATTTGGAGGTTATTGATATGGATTTGATTAATTATATGGTTATTAATAATAAGGAGCTCCTGGAGGTTTCATTGGTATCACGTTATTCTATTAATAATATTATGGATTTGTTGGAATTTGAGGTTGTTGTTGATATTTTGAATCTGAAAACCATTCAAATGCTATATAGATTTATCCAGCTGGCTTTCCCTAATATTTTAATCATTATTTTATTACTTTATAGCTTAAACTAATCCATTCTGGTGCTATAGGTGTATCAACTAAATATTTTTGTATGGAAATCGAAGTTTCTCCAACTAAATCATCAGCACTTACTTCGTCCGAGTCCCAAACTTAGATTTCAGCTAAATATTCATTCGTACGCCTAAAACTTAATGATTAATTCCAAGATGGATGTTTTCCTGTTTTATGAATATTTCTTGTACCTGCGTCTGTATGTTCTCTAGTTCTTTACTTTTAGTTGCCAAGGATAACTTTACAATAAGGATCCATTTTTCCGAGGAACTCAGTATCATGAGTTAATTTAGCTTTGAGAGGTTTAACAATTAAGGTGCCCGAACCAACTAATGACATTTTAATATTTTTATATTTGTGAATGTCTAAGAAATCTAATTTAGGTAAGGCACTTCAAAGACAATAATAAAGAAAGATGAATGAAGGAGCAGCAAAAGTGTAGAATTAAGGGTAGTTCTTTCATGATGGAAAGGTAGTAAAGGAGGAATATCAAATATAATAAGAGAACTTGTAATCAATAATAGATTAGAATCCATTGAACGAATATTTATAGATGGCAGAGATGGCAAATATAAAATATTAAGCAGAGAAGAAATCAGATATAGTAGTAAATGAATAACAGAAATAAGTAATAAAGTGAATAATTTTAAGTTAGTGATAAATGTAAATGCAATAAGAAAGGGATAATTGGGAAATTCATAAGTATATGATTATTAAAAGAACTAATTGATGGTTGATTTATAAATACCTAGAAGACCTAGATGGGATGAGAAGACAACAGTTGAATAATTGAGATTGATGGAGAATGAGAATTTTTTAAAATGGAGAAAGGAGTTAGCTAAATTTGAGGAGGAACATTATTAAATATAATTAACTCCTTATGAAAAGAATATAGAGGTTTGGAAGTAATTATGGAGAGTGGTTGAGAAGGCAGATATTTTAGTATAAGTAGTAGATGGTAGAGATATCTTATTTTATCATTGCAATGATTTAACAAAGTATGTTCATGAGGAACAGAATAGAGTTTATAGAAAGAATTAAACAAAGATTAATTTTTTATTGATAAACAAAAGTGATTTAATATCTGATAAGATTAGACAGGAATGGTCAAGTTTTTTGAATTCTTAGAATTTGAATCATATGTTCTTTAGTGCAAAATTAGAATAAGAAAAGATTGATAAGGAAGAGTAAGAGTAATAATAAGATGCTAAAAATATTATAATATAATAAGAAGAACCATAAGTAGAAGAGAATGTTGAAGCATATATAAATACATCAAGAATTGCAGATAGGAAGATATTATTATCAGAGTTGAAATTTTTAGTTTAAAAGATTAGAAAGTAGAGATAAGAAAATGTAGAGCCAACTAAATAATTGGAATAGGATGATCATGATATATAACATGATGAAAATACAGTTATTATAGGGATGGTTGGATATCCTAATGTGGGTAAGAGTTCAGTTATTAATGCACTTTGTAATAAGAAATTAGTTGGAGTTGCAGCAAGACCTGGTAAAACTAAGCATTTTTAAACTATACCATTAGAAAAATATTTATTAGTATTTATAAAGTTTTTATTTTTAGTTATGTGATTGTCCAGGTTTAATATTTCCAAATGCATCATCATCAAGAGCAGAAATGGTTTGTAATGGAGTTTTACCTATAGATAACATTAAAGATTATCTAAGTCCAATGGATTTATTAGCAGAGAGAATTCCTAAAGTTGTATTTGAAAAACTCTATGGAATCAATTTATAAGAATTTAAAAACATTGATGCTTCTACTGTTTTATCTACTTATAGTTAGAAAAGAGGATTCATGACAGGTAGAGGATTACCAGATGAAGCTAAAGCATCTAAATTAATGTTAAAAGATTTTGTTAATGGTAAATTACTATATGCAAAATTGCCTCCTAATTATTAAGGAGAGCCTTTATGGTAATCAAATCCTTTATAAGATTTGGAAAATCTACTTCATTAATAATAAAATTAACATCAATAAAATGATGATGCTAAAATTGATAATTAGTTTGAAAATTAATTAATTTAGGAAAAGAAAATCACAAATGAAGAAATACTAGAAATTTTTACTTAAGAAAACTTAGCTTAATTAATGGAAGGTAAAAAGGTACATGGAATAAAATTAACAAAAGAATAGAGAAGAGAAATAAAACATAATTTTCAAAGAGGTATTAATTATAAATAAGATTTTCAGGTGATCCAATTGACATTAAAAAATATCTAAATTTATAGCAAAACTAAAAGGAAACTCTATATAAAACTTATATTCAAGGAAAAAGAGGATAAATATGAGAAATATTGTGATTAGTAAAAACTCAATATTAATATATTCAACAACACTTTTCCTTATCTTTTTTACCATCATCTGCTTGTTATCCAATTCTCTAACCTGAAGTTTATTGGCTTCTTTAAGGCCTAGACAATAATTGATAATATCATTACCCCTAACCTTTCAGTCCTTGCGAATCCTTTTTTGTAATAAGTTTTTTAGCAAGGGAAATGAAAGCCTTCTATACATATTCTGCTGTTTTGGCACTTACTTCCATATGTGCCATCTTTCTAATTGCTGCATAATCTAAAGCTTTTTAAGTTGTAACTCTATCATACTAAAAATAATAATATACGCTTTCTCCTCTATATCACTCTTATTTCCTAATAATAATAGTTCTACATTCTTCTCTGCATATTAATCTACTTCATTAATCCAAAATCTATCAATATCTTCAAATGATGCAATTGATGACACATCATATACCATTACAATCCCATCAGCACCCTTCATTCTAATTTATCAATACCTTATAATAAGCACTTGTTATTGTTCGAAATCTTTCTTATCCTGCTGTATCCCAAATTTATAACTTTACCTTCTTACCCTCTATTTCTAAAGTCTTGAATCTAAAATCAACTCCAATTGTTGTTAAATAAGAATCGCTAAACGTGTCATCTGAAAATCTCAATAACAATGATGACTTCCCCACTCCTGAATTCCCTACTATCACCAACTTAAACAAATAGTCATATTCTTTAATCATTAGATATAATAAATATTTAAATTAATACGACACAGAAGTCATCAGTATATATATTTGATTCCACATTAATTTTTTAATTCAAACCTGGCTCAATTATAAATCAATATCTATTCCTTATTCTTTATACATTTCTATTCTTATTCATTTATTCAAACGCATTTTATGATAATACAATATATACAGAACACCTAAAATTCAAATTGCTTAAATTATTCGTCATTTTTAATTAATTTATCTTTAACATTTATGATTTTTCATCGATTTTTTACTCTAAAGATATTCATATTATTTATATTAAATAAAGAGAGACCTATGATTATTTATATTAAATAAACAAGTGAAATAAATTTGGTATAGTAAGATTAGGTCTATACTATATAGATATAAATAGATCATTGGAAATTTGTTTTTATTAATTAATACTAACTCATAATTAATAATACAAAAAATGTAATTTATTCTCTTAATTGTCTGTATTGTTGCATTTATTGATTGTAAATTGAAAGTTCTTAGGCCAGCTGAGTTAGTTAATCATTTGGGATCAAAAGTAAACATTGCACTCGCTAATTTTGGGTTTGAATTCATTTATTAGAGATTAGTTAAATTCCATTTGGACATAGACTTATGGGTTATGTTGATATGGCTTAACCTAATAATGGATGTAATAGTCTTAAGCCTACAAATGGAAGCCAATTCATTCTGATAGAAAGAGGAAATTGTACTTTTGTCACTAAGGTTAGGAATGCCCAGAATGCTGGATATTCTTTAGCTATTATTGGCAATAATAATGATTAGACTTTAGAATCTGATTTTGTTATGGCTGATGATGGTAATGGATATGCTGTATTAAATTATTACATATATTAATAGGTTGACATTCCATCAATATTCATTGCATTAAAAGATTTTAATATTATGAAAGAATATGTTTAAAAGTTTAATGTTTATGATTCTACAGATGAAAAGGTTTTTGTATTGGTCAAATTTGATGTTGAAAAAAAGGAAAATGTAGATGTAATATTTCGATTGGAAGTTAATAATAGAGATTCATACAGAATAGTTGATGAATTTCAATAATATTATGATCTTTTAAAAAATGAGTAGGTAAATTATACATTGCTTTATTCAATTTTCAATTCCAACAATTCAGAAACTGAATATTTAATAGATGAATCTAATTGTATTTGTGAAAGACGATATTGTGCTATTGATCCTGATGGTGAAGGGATCGGATCAGGAAAAAATATAATTGAAGAATCTATTAGATAAACATGCATATTTAAACATTTTCCATAAAAATATTTTCAATACATGGTAAACTTTAAGAATAATAATAGAATAAATTTAATTTTGAATGCACTAAAGCTTAAGCATATTCAACTTGTGGTAGTAGGATTATAAATAATTTGGAAATCAGTGCAGATGATATTGTCAAATGTAGAGATGAGTCATTTAAGGATCCATTTACTCATCAAACAACAAAAAATCTAACTAATTCTTATAATGCTATTTTGGAGCACTAAATGATATTGTTAGAGAATGCTGGTATGGTAGGATTACCATCAGTAGTTGTTAATTCTATAGTTTACAAAGGATAATTAACAGGTAAAGGAATTTTTGGTGAAATTTGCAATAGTAATATATTAATGATTATATGTAGGTTTTATTACTCCTCCTTCAATTTGCAAAGAGGAAGTAGAAAACTATTATCAATTTTCGTTTAGTGGAACACATTATCTATTTTGGGTTTTACTGATTGTCTCAATTCTGATTGCAATATTTATAATAGTTCTATACTTTTTATTCAAGAAATTTGTTTAAAGAGATAGTGTTGAAGTGACATAAGTTTAAGTTAATGAAATGGTGAGCCAATACATAAAATTTTATGAAGGAAAAGATTAATAAAAACAAAATTCTTATTGAGATATTAATTTAATTATAAATGAATAGTTGAACTTTTTATATCCATAAAAATAAGTATTAATTAATGAGACGAGGCAATGTGATGAATTAATTAAATAAATATAATAATGATCTTTTAACTCCGTTACAATACTAAATTATCTGAATCTCTAAACAATAGCAAAGATTACTATTAAATGCAAAGTACAAAGTGGATTGCTCCTAGACAAAATTAACATCGACTTGAACACTTGTAATTTACTTAGAGAAATAAAGCTCGTTAAAAATACCCATAAGATATGCTTTTATGTCTTGTATCTAAAGGACTTGTACCAATAGAAAAGTAGAGAATAATAAATCTCTAATAGAATGATATTTCATGTAATTACAAAGATATAACTTCTGAAATTAAATAAGAACATCCTTACTATGGTTCAAAATTCAATCCCTCAGTTTCAGAAGTAGAACGATGTAACTTAATTAAATAACCTCATAGAAAATAAAAAAGTATTACCTCCACTTTAGTATATAGCAGTCCATCCTCAGATAAGAACTTAATCAAAAGATAAGGATCTTATTGAAGCTACCACTACCAAAAGTTGTAAATTAGTAAGTCCTATGATCAATAGAAGTGATCAGAAACAAAATACAAAGTGTTTAGAATCTAAGGATAATAATGATAAAATAATTAGAACTTCCTCCACACCCTTTATTTAAAAGACTGTTTAAAATGAAAATTTGACTAGTAGATCAGGATCACCAAATCAAAGATCTAAATCAAAAGCAACTAAAATTTAAAAAATTAATATCTAAACGAAATTGACTTAAATTAAAGAACAGAGACATACATAAAATCATCAAGAATCTTAATAAGTATAACAATAAACTAATTTTAAAATGGCAGAGTCAACTGAAAAGAAATTGTAAGTAAAGAGAAAAAAGAGATAATTATAAACAACCTAATAATAATAAATTATATAACAACAAAATTCTTAAAAGGACAAACTAAATTAAAAGCATACTTCTTATCGTTGTTTCATTAACAAAATTAATTTTTCTAATAATTAATGCATTTAATCCCCATTTAAAATGGATGTTCCCGCCTATTACTTTTATGTAGGCAAGGGTAATAATGGAAGTCTTTTAAAGAATCTTTTTAGATAAAGATGGTGGTGGTAAGAAGTAGAATCATTAGATTTAAACAAAGTTAATATGGTATGGACTTAATTAAAATAAAATTCATGTATTGATTGTTTACCTACTTTTAATATGGCTACTAATGATACTAATTATAATAATGATTCTTTCATTTAAAGTATTGAAGATACAATTGTCGAATCAAGTGATTCTGAATTAGATATCCTTGTTAAACCACGTTCTGTACCAGTTTTAAGTATCAATCAATTAATAAGTTAATCAATTCAAACTAAAAAAAAAATATAAATTAACAATCTTAATCAATTAAAGAGAATTTTTAATTAAATTGATTTACATTCAATTTTAAATTTTATGGAAGAAAATAATCAGTAGGATTCATAAATTATTTTCAGCGATTGTTCTGACAAATTGCTCATGTCTATTAAAGGAGTAAAATATATACATAATCCCTTAGTTACAAACTACCATTCACTAAGATAGTAAAAATTACAAAATGCACAATCATATGCAAGACAATTGGCATTTAGGTAATAAAAAAGCACTCTTTTATAATATGAGAAATTATTTCAAAATTATTAAAGAAGATTATACTAAGTATATTCCTATTACCTTTCACATATAAAAAGGAATGACTGATCCTGAATATTTCAAATTTTTTGATTATTATAACAAGAGACAAGAAGAAATTAAAGAATTAGAACGAAAACAATAATTAGAGTATCGAAGAGATAAAAGACTTAAACCTATTAGTTTATGGATTGTAAAACCAGGTGAATGTACTAATAGAGGAAATGGAATAACTGTTTGTTAAGATTTATTAGAAATCAATAAAATTTTAAATGAAGAATAACCTGATGGTAGATAAAGAACCTATATTGTTTAACAGTACATTGAAAATCCATTCCTTTACAATAAAAGAAAATTTGATATAAGATGCTATATGCTTTTAACTTCTTAAAATGGAATCTTTAAAGGATATTGGTATTAGGAAGGTTATATTCGAACCTCTTCTAAAGAATTTACAACCAAATGCTTAAATAAGTATATTCATTTAACTAATGATGCTGTTTAATCTAAAGATGAAGATTATGGGAAATTTGAGTTTGGTAACAAGATTTCCTTTCTCGAATACTAAAGATATTTGGATACTTATCATCCTTAATAAAAATTCAATTTTTTTACTGATATTTATCCTAAAATGAAGAATATTGCTTTGGATCTCATGAAGGCTTCTTATGGTAAAATAGATCCTTAGAGAAGATCAAATAGTTTTGAAGTATAAAAATTTATATTCTAAGTTATTTGGATTAGATTTTATGATTGATGATAATTTTAAGCTTTGGCTTATTGAAGCAAACACAAATCCATGTTTAGAATTATCCTGTCCACTTTTAAGCAGAATCATTCCTGCCATGGTTGAAAATTTATTTCGGTATTTATAAGTTTAATCATTCTCCTAGAATTGCAATCGATCCTATTTTCCCTCCTCCTTATTTTGAAGAATGGCCTTAAAACAAAAAGTTATTCATTCCTGATAATGTCCTTGAAAATAATAGATTTGAACTTATCTTTGATGAATTAATTGAGAAAAAAACTATGATCACATTATACAGAGATAGCAAAGTTGAATAAGATTGTTTCAAAATAGAAGAAGAGGAAGAAGAAGAAGAGAAAGATTGACACTTTTATGTAATTATTATTTAAATATTAATATGTATATACAAATTTAATAGATTATTTAATATGGCTATAAAAATTTTAAATATTTATCAAGGTTTTATATATTATAATTATTATATGTCTTTAAATTAATATGGATGTGTAGATTTGGACAAAAATTTATGTAAGAAAAATCATCAATATTCTTTGAGTAAAATTAGTAATTATCAGGACAGCTAATTAAATAAGCTGATTAAATAGATGAGTTTTTATCCAATAATGTTGGAAGGATAAGCAATAAAGAAGAATTGAAAATTTTTTTAGATGAATTATTATGCAGTAAATGTAAATAAATACCTTTTAATCCAATAATTTGTTAAACATGCTAGTTAATGTATTGTCAAAAGTGTAATGAGCAATTGTAATTCATAAATTAAATGATTATAGGAAACTTGAAGATTCTAATTTATTTTAATAATGTTGTAAAAAGGAAACTTAACTTAATTAGGTAAAAATTGTACCTGAAGCATTAAATAGGCTTCTAAAGAAGATTAAATTTTATTGCAAAAATAAAGTAATATAATAGAAATAGAATAGAAATTGGGTTGTAATAGTATTGAAGGTTACACTGATATTCAAAATCATGAAATGAATTAGTGTGATTTTTCTTATAAAGCATGTACACATATAGGATGCGATATGAATATTTATAAGAAGGATTTAAATAAACATAAAGATCGAGAATGCCAATTTAGATTTGTCAAATGTAAATTCTGCAGAACTATGCATCGATATTTATTATTAGATCTTCATGTAAAAATTAAAATTTATTAAATAGCATAGTGAATGTGATTTAAAGCCCACTCCATGTAAATGGTGTTCTGTTTTATATGTGAGAAAGGTAATATAAGATCATGAATAAAATTGTGATCATAGAGATTACTTTTGTGATAGTTGTAAGCAAAATATGAAATTTTATAAATATGCTTCACATTTAGGATATTAATGTCAAAAAAAATAAAGAAACTTCTATTAAAGGAGTTTCTATAAATAAAAAATGAAAAGACAACAATTAGAGTAATAATAAAAG